CCACACTCTACACCCCATACTTTGCACTTTACATCCTTCACTCAACACTTTACACTCCACACTCCTCACTTCACACTTTCCACTCCACACTTACCACTCCACACTCCACACTCTACACTTTACACTCTACACCTCACACTCTACACTCCACACTCTACACTTTACACACTCTACACTGCCCAATCCACACTTTACGCTCCACACTCCTTACTTTACACTACACACTCCACACTTTCCACTCCACACTCCACACTCTACACTTTCCACTCCACACTGCAGACTGGTAACAGGGCAGAAAAGTGTTTCAGAAAAGTGTTCTGCGTGACTGCATATCCATGTGTTTCGACATCTGTACCATTAACATACGTGTGAGCATTCGGGTTCGTGGGCTGCATCTTGTTTCTTCTCTTCTCTTCTCTTCTTTGACTTTTGCCACCTCTGCTTTTCCATCTGTCCATGTTGTCGGAAGTTTGACTTCTAAACTTCCTTCGAACAATAAGTAAAAGTTATTTACCAACATATCTATTCCAGCTAGATTGTATTGACATTGTTCTGGCTGTCACTTAGGTGCCAGCCCTGGCGCACGCAACCCGCCTGTGGGGACAAAAGTATATCAAACTATGGATATATTGATGCTTTATTTATGGTAGTTATTTTTTAGTTTCATCCCCATCGTTATTTATCATTATACCTTCGCTTGTGTTGTCTCCTCGTCTCCTCCCTCCTGCTTTCTTTCGGGCCATACTGTCGTCTAGTTGGACATATTTTTAACATTTGGTCTGGCAATGTCTTTTAAATTTGAAAAATCCGACATGTCCGGCAGTCAGCCCCAAAGAGTTGGCGAGCTCGCATGTTGTTCGGGTCTGGCGACGAGAAAGCTGGCGAGCCCGCATTCCGTTCCGGTCCGGCGAGCTTCAGGAACCGGCAAGCTCGCAATCATGTGAGGTCCAGGAAAAAACAATGATTTTGCAGGAACGGAAGGGAAGAAAAAGGGGATATCTAACACAAAACCCAAAGATCTTTACCTCTGGGGGTCAAATGATTTTTCAACCACGCAATTTCTAAAATTCAATCCAAAAATATCGTTCGAATTCTTTTTCAGAAATATTTTGACTTGTATTTTTTTTTATCTTCGGCTCATATTTGTACATAGCGGTATTCTCAAGTAGCGATCTGCCTGCGAAGGGCCCAATATATCAGTGAAAGTCACTTAAAGACTTAAAGTTTCTGTTTTGGTGCCTTGGAGCTGGTGCACGGCATGGAGTTGTGGGCTTTGACAACCTCAAGGGCGGTTTTCCCGTCGATCCCACGCTGCAAAAGCTGGATATCAAAGCTTTGGCGCCAAACGTTGCCGGTCCAGCTCCAAGCATTGCCCTCCTGAGAGAGCTGCAAATTTTTCACTGTTGGGTCGATATTTGGCACGCTGAAACAGATGCTCAATGTTAACCCCCAGAGTTTTGAAGCTTAGCCTATCCCAGCTGTCTGCGAACCCTTGAGAGAAAAACCATTGAATTCTGAAGGTCCACTGCCTGGAAGCCGCAAGGCTCTCAGATTCTTCTCGGGTGCGCCCATCACCTGACATGCAAAACTTTGCATGAAAGAAATCAGGAGCCCCCAACATTCCGAGGCACGTTGGATGCCTTCACTCCTGCACACCGGAGTCTGGATCAGCCAAAACTGCATTCCATCTCTAGCAAAAGCTGTGGCGCTCTCCTGCTACCATCTTTCGACGGCGACCTGTTCCCCACCTCAGAAGAAACAAACTTAGAGATTCAAATGCGCATGGGCACGTCAGAAATGGCTTCATCGTTGGAATCAGAACCGAATTTCAATTTTCATCCAGCCGGAGTCTTGGCCTGCAAGGATTGCACTCCGTTGGGCAAACCAAGGCCTCAGAAGCTTGAAGTATGAAACGTACGGCAGCAAGGCTGAACGTAAAATAGTACGACGAATAAAACGATCCTTTTAGGGAAACCAAACGCGCCCTTGATCTGCAGACATGTGGCTCGCAGAAGCATCTCCTGAGAGGCGGCGAGACCTGTCGACACCCTGTGGGAATGCGACAAAGACATTAAATACATCAGTCATGTGCATATGAGATCACATGAGCAGATTTTTGAATCCTTCCAGGTGCCTGCTGTCAGCACTTTGCTTGGAATGAATCCTGGTGCCAGGCCATGAATTTCTCTGTCATCACACATCTCACTTGTGCTAAATTACTTGTGGAAGATTCATGCCATCGGGTGCCAGTGAGCTGAAAGCAAAGAACAGCAGCCTCTGGTTTGAGGGCATGTTGCTGGGGTTGGAAGGCCGCCTGTTCACCAGGTGCAATTCAATGCTTTCAATCGGAATTGATTCATGCAAACGATTCCATTGTTCACCATCAACCTTTTGGACCCATTAGATTGGCCTCAGTTGCGGTGACATTGTCTTTGAAAAGGTGGTGTATCCCGCATGTTTGAGCGCCTATAGACGCATAAAGCGAGCAAGCGATCGGGCCTTGAACCCACACCGCGGTCATCATTGCTGACTCTGGAAGGGCGCCTGCCAATCACCACGTCACCACATGGTGACGTGCGATGCCGTGGCTCCAAACGTCAGGAAGCTGTCAAGCTGGCCTCTGGTTCGAAGGCATATTGGTACTGTCAGGCAAACATTTGCCGCAAAAACAAGCGCATGACCTTGATATCCTTTTCAAAATAATCTGCATGAAGCCTGCTGCCAGCACTGTGCTTTGAACCGTGCCTGTCAATGCAGGACAAGACAAGGGTTAGATGACTTCTTCGGACCACAGCATGTCCACTGTCAACACGGCCTCTGGTTGGAGAGCTGGTTGGAAAGCTGGTTGCTGGCAGTTCCAGAAGGACGCCTGGAATTCCCAATTTTGTATCCGATTTGCACTATTTCCGCATGCGTCCAAGTCTAAGACTGTGCGTGGGACCCAAATGTCTGAATGTTTTAAGGTTTCTAGTTCTGGACCGTTCGCCAATACTATTGTCCTAGGCCTAGGCCAAAATATCATTGATATTCTCCGTGCACCACTTGCATCTTCACTTGGTTGATGAGTCTATCCTCATGATTCTAGGTTTTTTTCGACGTTTCCACTGAAGTCGCCTTTGGTTCGTGAGGGATTGGCTTCCAACGGAAGGACGCCGATTGGAGGCTCCAGGTAAGGCACCCGGCAACTCCAAGGGCAGGTCCTGATGGCAATCTTGGGTCAGCACCCTGTTGAGTAATTGGGCAATTGCTATTCAATTTGAGCACCATGAAGTTCATGAAGCCACTGGATTTCAAGCTCTTTGTGTTGAGGCCAAGCAGCAAGATCAACAAGTGAATTCCTCTGAATCCTGGACGGCCCTTTGCAAAGCGGTGCACGGTTCTGGCCTCCAAGGTATCTGTTGCCAGGTCCTCCTCACAGTGAGAAGTTGCGGATCAAGGTAGCTGAGTCCCCTACAGGTGAATTTCAAACCAACAAATTCCTGAACTTGGCAGCAAACCCCGAATCAAATTGCTGTTGTTTGCCACGAGAGGCTTACCGGGTCTTGCCTTCGAACGAATCAGCGCCTTCTCCCAAAACTTCTCGTTGCTCGGCAGGAGCTCCTGATGAAACGATTGTCAGCTGACTGGCAATCTCAACTCTCACCAAGAGAGTTTCTTCCTCCATGATTTGTGGAAGCTACATGTGGCGTTCATGAGGTGTGGAGGTAAGATTGCAACAGGTAAAACAAGTTTTGCACATCGGCAAGAATACAGAGGAACAAGGCAAGACTGGCAACTAACTTCACGATGATGCACTGTGATAAATATTTTTTCTGCAAGCACCTGACTCCCCAAAACTCAAGGGACGCACGGCGTGACCAAATCTACCAAGTCACTGAATCATTGTGAAGCGCAGCTACCTGCGACGCCTGTGGGCAAAGGAGGAACTTACGAAATTCCATGGAAATGATGAACGATCCTGGTGGCGCTTGTCTGAAAAATCTCAAGCAACACGAAGAACATTCCGATCAACTGCTGCTGCTGCTTGGTGGTTTTAAGCGACAAAAAATGAAAATCAACCAGAGAATCATAATTGTATTCCTCAAGATGGAAAAATCAACAGTGGAAATTGGAAAACCAGAAAAAAACCACCAGGTAGATTATTGCTATTAAGTACATCAGCTATAGACTGTATTGTACTTCCCTCTAAATTTGATAGCCAGCCAAACGACCCCCAAGAATTTCTGATCCTCGCCTTTGGCGTGCCTCCTTCCATGGGCTTCACTTCACGATTCTCCTGGTGTGTTCAATTAGAATCCCTTCCAAACTAGAGGCTGAATGAAGTTGAATGCCTTTCCAGTCAGTGGAAAATGGCAGACCCAAACTTGACGACACAAAGGCAGTGAGCAAATCCCTTCGAACAGCATGAAACACATTGGAAACTGGAAACCGGCAACCAATTCACGAAATCCATCTTCTCTTGCCTGAGGTCCCTTCAAATCAACCCCCTGCAGCCAAGATTCAAACTTTTTAACTAGTTTGTACCTTTGAATGGCGATGCAAAGCAGCACTGTCCTGAAGCGAAGGCGGGAAGGCGGGCATCTGGTCTGAAGAGACTCTGTGGAGAGCATGCATGTAGCAGACTGGCAATGCTGATAGACCAGTTGGGACGATAAAGATGTTTGCTACACCCTAGGAAGTCTTGAAGGGCCTCAAGCGATTTCCCCGTAGCCAAGCGACTTTGGACATTAAGCCAAGTTTCCCCACCAATGCCAATGATCCAAGAACAATTCCTGGCTTGAAAGCAACTCATCGGATTCTTTGGGCAATGCGGCTATCACCTGGAAACCCATGTCATAGCTAATCTCAGATGCCCGGTCAAAAGCTTCAATGCTCTGGATATTGACTCTTAAATCTTCCTTTGAAAATCACTCGTCCGTTCGCCAGCAATGTTCACCCGGTTCCCTGCCTGTGATGGCACCAGGAGATAGGCCTTCATCGAGCGCTTCAACCAATTCAGTTGCCACATCAGTTCGGAATGCCCATTCTCCCACCTGGCATGAGATTGCGGCCATTTGTTTCAAAAAAAAACAGTTGGAAGTGGTTCGCCCTAAAAATGACATGAAAACGCAGGTTAATGGAAAGACCTCTGATCAGTGCCTAAACCCTCTACTGTTCCGTTCTACTGGCAGATTGATAAGCTTTCTACTCACCGACCTGTAGTAATGCCACCAATCTTCCGTTGCCGGCCACCCCCGCGAGTGTTTAAAAGAAACCGTTTGGGGATAGCCACCCTTAGTAACAACCATTTCCAGTGTCATTGTGGCGACGTCCTTATAATTTACACAGCTTGGATCATTCAACATAACCCATTAACCACCAGGTGTTACTAGGGTCCCAGGGCAAAGTCTCAGCGGCCTCAAGACCCGTGAAATTATTGTTCGAACGGTCCACCATAGCGCCTCCATATGGTGTCGCAGCGGGCTGTGGCAGTGGAAAACAGGAAGACCAATGAAACTACTAAATGGGTCAGATTTTGATAGGAAACAAACAGAGACAAACAGTTTGATCCATTCGGCTGTTCGCGAACAATCATGGCCATCTGCGCTGCACGCCTGCAGGAATCACAATGCTAAACCTGAGCCAAGGCTGAAGCAAACCCTGAGATGATTCCCAATTCTATCCCACATTTTCAGCAATAGTGAGGATCTACGGAAGTAAACACATAGTTATTATTTTTATGACGTTTTTGCAAGCTTAAATCCCCATCCAGCATCACCCTGCTCATTTCAGCCCAAGGGCAAGGTGTCGGGGGCCAAAGGCCCCAATGGGATCCGCAGCTGTTCCTTGGCACAGGTGGTCATGAAATTTCATGATGTGTTTTGACGTGTCTGCTTTCGACTTTCGGATTTTGATGATGATGATGATGATGAGGATGATGAATCACTTCAATGTTTTTCTGCGCACTCAGCATGGCACCACGTCCTCCCCTGTTTCGGTGGCCTCCATGAGCCTCACAACATCACGTCGCAGGTTCGTGGGTGTGAGCTGTGGCAGGTCTCAGGGTCCGGCAACGTGCTAACCTTAGGTGAAGATTGAAACAGCTGAGATCATCTGAGATCCCAATTCGTATCAGATTCACGGTGCGGGTGGTTAAACTTGGTGGGATGCCCTATAAAATGGATAATTCATGACAAGAATTGGCTGATTTTTGGTCTCACTCTTGAAATGATATGGGGCAGTGCTCGACCCTCTAGTTGTTCTTGGTGAGTGATGCTAACGGTTTTTGGAATCTGAAATTGTTTGGACAATCAAACACTTCGAACCTGTGAGCACTTCATGCGGGTTCCAGGCAACCTTCTCGTATGCGTCTGGTCCAGCATTAGTTTTCAAACGCCAAAGTTCCGCTTGTTGAATCATCAGATACCACGGCTCGCTCATGGTGACCGTCGCAACCTACACGGCCCAGTCAGTAGATTCCAGTTGGGCATGATCCAGGAAATCAAGATTCGCAGGGCCAAGTCAGATTGAATCTCAGATTGAATCCAACAAATCTAATTCTCCCAGGAACTGTTGTACCAAGGTCCACATTCGCATCGGCCAAGCGAGGAGAGAACTGCAATCCCATGGGTGGAACATTGTCACCTTAGACCGTTTGAAGCTGAAAGGGCCGCCTTGTATCCCAAGTTTCATCCACTCGAAAATGCGAAACAACCCATGCTATCGGAGACAAGGGTAAACAAATGGGAACATGAGTTATGGTTTCTTGAAACCTATGCCCAATTCTTCACCTGAGGCTCCAACTGATGAAGACCTGCTGTGGAACACATCTTTGAGACACACCGGGAAAGATGGCTTGAAATGGCTCATACCCCAAGCAAGATAGAAGAGTCATTTTCTATTTTGGTAGGATCTAACCTGAAATTCTGCAACTTTTTGGGGTTGCTCTTTGGGGACCACCAAAACTGTTGGAACTTGGCCCAAACGAAGGCCGGCAGCACGACATGGTTCCTGGTCTCCAGGTTGGGCACCGACTCGTCCAAGCCGATCTGGCAGCAGCTTGGGATGGCAGGTCATCGTTCGTTTTTTTTGATGAAGCCAGCCACTTTTTTTCAACGTTTCATGCCATAGCCAGCAGGGCTCTTTAAGTTATCCTCAAAAGCCAGCCATATTATAAGGTATCATAGGATATCATAAGTCATCACACGATGTCTATGTTTACAGGTCTTCCCCCAACTTTGGTGCTTTTCCAATGACCAAAACCCACTGGGACTTGGACCACGGCTCCACGCGTGACGTTCAGTCGACATTCGTAGCCTTGGTGATTTGTGGAGCGCCATGGAGAAACCATATGGGGGTTTCTTCAAACGGGGATACCCCAATTGCTGGATGGTTTATTTCATGGAAAATCCGAAAATCAAATGGAATGATTTGGGGCTACCATTCATGGAAACCTCCATGCAACGCAGATCTGTTGGGGAATACGTTTGGGTGATCAGGTTGGCCACCCGATATGAAAGTCAAGGAATGGTCATCCCAGAAAAGGATCTAAGCAAGAAGAGATGAATGAAAAATCCAAATTCGATGGTTTAGTTCACCCACATTTCGGAAGGCAAACCAAAATGTTGCCGACAAAAAATTGATAAGACCATATCTGACATATTTTTTCACCCCAATACCCTTTACCCTTTTGACCTAGATCCGTGTTTGAACCTTCGAAGCTTCTCTGGGCTATCTGACGAGCCCAGAACTGTTCTGTGCCTTAAAAGCGCAGGGTGTGGCTTGGGGACATACCGGGTCACGCCAATGAAGATGACCAATGCTACACTTTTTCCGGTTTAAGCACTAACTATCCTAACTTTTAAAGAAACCAGCTTCTGCATGCACTGTGATCCTACGACCCCAGAGCTTTGAGGCGAGCACCGAGTGGAATTTGTACCACGCGGTCGCTCAGCATCACTCGCTTGTTGATGGGAACCTGTCTGCGATGCACAGATTCTCAATCTTGACAGGTCACATGTCAGGTGTTGAGCACAACATTGGTTATACCAGTAGTACCGCGCAAGGCGGTGGCGGAAGTTCCAAAAATAGGAAACCTATAGGAGAGGTTGGTTGTTGTGAATCAGGGAGGGCAGAGCGAATCCACTGATGGACCGAAAGGTGCTCGAGGTCTCCCACTCTTTCTCGCTCTTTCTCTCACTATCTACCTACCTACCTATCTACCTTCTATGTATCTATCTATCTATCGATCTATCTCTCTCTCTCTCTCTTTCATCTAATTATCTATCTATCTATCTATCCATCTATCTATCTGTGGAGTGTAGTTGTAGTTGTAGTGATGTGGAGTGTAGTGTAGTGTAATGTAGTGTAGTGTAGTGTAATGTAGTGTAGTGTAGTGTAATTTAGTGTAGGGGAGTGTAGTGGGTGTAGTGGAGTGTAGTGGAGCGTAGTTGTATTTGTAGTGTAGTGGAGTGTAGTGTAATGTAGTGAAGTGTAGTGGAAGGTAGCGTAGTGTAGTGTAGTGTAATGTAGTGTAATGTAGTGTAGTGTAGTGGAGTGTAGTGGAGTGTAGTTGTGTAGTGTTAGTTGTAGTTGTAGTGTAGTGGAGCGTAGTGTAGCGTAATGTAGTGTAGTGTAGTGGAGTGTAGTGTAGTGTAATGTAGTGTAGTGCAATTTAGTGTAGTGTAGTGCAATGTAGTGTAGTGTAAGTTAGTGTAGTGGAGTGTAGTGGAGTGTAGTGTAATGTAGTGAAGCGAAGCGAAGCAAGCGACGTCTGAACCTCCAAAAGTGGTCCGAACCCCTAGTGTTTTTAACATTTTGACTTCGACATGTGCTTCGCGCCACAACGGCGTGCACTTTTTCGACATCTCAAATTCGAAAAGTGATCCGAGAATGGTGTGTTTTGCACATTTTGACTTGGAAATGTGCTTCGCGCCACAACGGCGTGCACTTTTTCGACATCTCAAATTCGAAAAGTGATCCGAGAATGGTGTGTTTTGCACATTTTGACTTGGAAATGTGCTTCGCGCCACAACGGCGTGCACTTTTTCGACATGTCAACTTCCAAAAGTGCTCCGAAACCCTGGTGTTTTTAACATTTTGACTTCCAAATGTGCTTCGCGCCACAACGGCGTGCACTTTTTCGACATGTCAACCTCCAAAAGTGGTCCGAACCCCTAGTGGTTTTAACACATTTTACTTCCAAATGTGCTTCGCGCCACAACGGCGTGCACTTTTTCGACATCTGAACCTCCAAAAGTGGTCCGAACCCCTACTGGTTTTAACATTTTGACTTGGAAATGTGCTTCGCGCCACAATGCCGTGCACTTTTTCAACATCTCAACTTCCAAAAGTGGTCCGACGCTGAAGTGTTTTGTACCTTTTCACTTCGAAATCGGCTTCGCGCCACAACGGCGTGCAACTTTTTATCTCTCATCTCCCCAGATGTCTCCGCACCCGCCGCTTTAGCGAGCCTACTTTTCAACCCTCCGGAGCCACAAAACCACGAAAAAACACAGTTTTTCGCGACTTTCCTACCTTTTCGCGCACCTGCATCTTCTTTCTTCTGATCTTTTCTCTTCTGACTCTTCTCCCTGCTGACTGCTTTTTGATCTCTCCATATTGTCGGAAGTTTGACTTCCAAACTTCCTTCGATTATGTAATGTTTAGTATTTAGCCATCCACTTTTGGCGTTCGATCATTTGGACCCATATGCTGTTCTCAATGCTGGACAACAGTGCTGACACCAATTTTTTCCCTGCCTGGATCACGAAGTTAACTCTACGGTTGGCTGGGGCTTCGAGGGGCAAGAACTGGCCCTCCTGCCGAACGACGCTGGAGACAGCATGAGATTTTCTATGTATCTTAGAAAGACTCAGGTCTTGCAGTATCTCCATCGATATATCGATATATCGATAATATGTATATATATATATATCCCTGTACACTTATACTATAGGTACACAACTGTGAGTCAAAGCTCTAGTACGTTGTAAGATAAAATTGTTAATTCTGGGGGTTAAAACAATTGACACCTCAATCGTCCAGCCTGCAGCTTGCAGCCAATGACCCTTAGGCATCAAGCAGTGGATCAAGAGACACACCAACAACCCAATGGAAACCCCCAAAATTGGTGACTTTAGCATCACCATTTTATCAGACTGTATCCTGTTGGGGTACAATAGCATGCAAGGTATAACAATGGGAACATTTTTGATTATCACCATTTCTTATCTTTTCGGGCCACAATTGAGTTGACCATCTGACCATCAAAGAAATCATGCGTAAATCATTTTAATGGGGTACCAGTACGCCAACTGCTAACTTGTTTTGGTCAACCCCATCGATGGGATCTGCACTAGAGATGGCTGATCCATCAACGGGGATGTCGCCCTACATGTCAAATGGGTACATATTCAACGGCTTTCAGACTTGGATGGCGAATCAGAATATCCCATATTTAAAGAAGTTTCCTAAATTGGGGGATCCCCAAGTCACCATTAGGTTTCAATACTCATGGTTGATGTGGATGATTTGGGGGTACCCGCATGACTTGGGAAACCTCCGTTCAAATGGCCATAAACTGGGATAACTTCCGGATTTTTGGGACACCATCTCAAGGTGCACAATTTTGAGCGCCACACATTTCGCCCTGCACGGGGTCAGCGTTGTTCGGGAAGCGCACAGGCTGGTCCTAAGAGCAGTTTTTGGATTGATGGCTATTGATGGCTAGCAACTGGGTAATCCAATTAGACGGAGCCAGGTAGAGAGCGGGATTATCACCATAGTTGGTTCGGGTAAGGGTCACTCCAGTTGGTTCACTGCTGGGTAGTAACTAGTCCACTTACTCACTGGGGTGAACCATTAAATATACGACTCCCCAATTTTAGTAAATTGATATTCTTGCAGTGTTAAGGGGTTAAAACCCAGGGGATGTAACCAACTGGCTGGCGGCCCAATTCTACTAATCATCTTGCCAATCACCCAGTTTGTTGATGTTAAAATTTCGAATTTAACACGATATTCTCCAACTTTGCTCCAGGGCCCTGTTCTTTTGAGATGACCCACTGTTCCCAGGTGACCCTTGGTCAACCTTCACCCCAGTTAGAATCCCAAGAGGCAAAGGTCAGGTTGATGTCATAGTCGCCGCCGTCCCAGCCCAAATCACCACCTGGCGGCTGATTTTCAGATGACATTTGCGACACAAAGGGGTTCTACCTGGTTGCTGCAAGAAATCCACGGTTTTATGATTCCCTATTTGTTGCGGGTTTTCGTATTCGCAATTCATCGGAGACATTTAATAACATGTACTAACCGCTTAGTTGGTAATCAAAATTTCAAAACCAGGGATTAGCAAATAGACGAATGACTTTTACCATTGAAGCAAAAAAGTCGGGCACAATTTTGGTGCCCATGTTCGTTGATGATGCCATCTTGTGGGCAACCAAAATAGTTGAGAAATCGCAGCCCTCAAATAAATCATTTCGAGGATCATTTCATCGAAATTTCCCATATCGATGAGGCTTGGTCGGCCACTGAAGTCATTAAGGGCTGCCCAGAAACATGTATCTGCGCAGAAACATGTATCTCAATCTCTGTTGAGTAAACACCCAGTTTTGTTGGGCAAAACCCTGACTTCTGACCAATTTCTATCGCTTAAACATGCACGTATCTCCAGCATCTCCATATTTGTTTCGTTGAACTCCCCAATTCGTTGATAGCAAGATGCAAAGAAATTACCGCCGTACTTGAACCTGGCCATGGACAACAACCCAGTCATTGATTGATGATTTTCCCATTGAAACTTCCACTTTTGACGGGGATTTCCCGGCCATTTTTGTTTGCCCCAAAGGTCATATTGCTGGTCGTATATTCCATTTTTGTATATCCATTATATTCCAATTATATCCCATGAAACCATTATAATCCCAATTATTTTCCCATTATGTTCCATTATATTCCAATTTTTGTTGGTTGAATCCCCATGACACCATAATCCCCATTAATCTCCCCATAAATCACCAGAAATTCCAGCCGTTCCGGGTCTCCGCGCCGAAGCGCGGACTGACGCTGACAATCCGCGGCAAAGGGCAACTCTCCACGGCGAATGGGCCTTGGCTGTGTCACCCCCAAATGTGAAATAGATGGGGATTATGATAGTGATTTATTGGGTGATTATGATATTTATGGTGAAATCATGATATTTATGGGGGTATCACTACATGATATGTGAAATTGAAATAGATGGGATGATGATATTTATCCCCATCCATCAATATATTTCGTAGGTATATATACAGGTAATACAGAGTTGGGGGTAAGGATGGGTAAGGTATTTTTCAGAACCCATGTCAAGTGAAGTCAAGATCCAAATGATGAAAAGTGAGCGACATGTTTTTTGGCCAGAAAACATGGGGATCGCGTGACATGACTTACCAAATTCGAACAATAGATTATATCCATGATTTCCAAGGCTGATGGCACTGGAGAACTGGGATAGCTTGGGGTATACTGCAACTGTTAGCACTGCTAGCCATGAATCATGACTTCAGGGATTCCATGCGATTTCCCTTGGTCGTCGAGTGATGTCCTAATCTTTTATGCTTTTTTGTTTTAAGGGAATTAAACCCACCATTCAAAACACGGACCCAGCAGCTACTTAAAAATGGGGCATTTTATGGCATTTTCATATGTAGCCCAAAGAGCGGGGATGATGGTTCGTTGATAGTTTTCAGCCATGGGTTTCAGTGCCCTCAGTGCTTATCATAGTTGACCCAACCCTTCCAATTCCAAACAATTTTTCATCCCAGTGGAGACTGGTCTCTAAGGATCTCACACAGGGCGCAAGGAACACCTGCAATGCCACGACAGATGTGCGGATGACAGGGTTGTGTGCCCCAGTTATGTTTATTGGTTCATAAAGCCATCTAGTAGTAATAGCTACAGTACCATAAATCCTAGTTAGCTTAGATATAAATCAACTTAGCCAGGTGGCACTGCAGTATCAACCCATCTCACGAGAGAGAATGGGATCATCCAGTGTGGACAAAATCTACTGCGAATCACTGAATCACTGCACTTTCCGCAGAGTTCGGAGGTCTGCACTTTTTTTGAATTCAAAACTGGGCATTTCGGACCATTGGGTGGCATTCCTCCCCATGCTCTACATATCCATCTCATGACTCACCAGCAAAACCAACATGGCAATGGAACATCACTAGAAAAATATCAAGTCATAGCAATTTATCTGGCTGAATGTTGCGTCATTTTGGGATGGTTCCCTATGCCAGCATTTACACATAATTGCAGTGAGGTCGTCCGAATTCAGCCAGATTTTCACATCCCCAAATTGCGCAAATAGTTCATGAATGTCGACATTTGATATAAATCCCAATCTCGATTGGTGTTTCACCCACGTTTTTTGGTTAAGCCATGACTTGTTGATGAACCGCCCTCCGTTTTTGTGCCTGAGGGCCCGGAGGGTGGTCCGAAGCATCGGCCTTCGTCCTCCGTGGAAAGTCATTTTTCGCATCCATGGAGCATTGGAGGGTATATTGGTATCCATGTGTATCCAGAATTGCCAAGCAAAGTCAAATACATGTGACTGTTAAATCTGTTAACCAATATTTTTTGAGTTAAAAAAACAACATAGCACACAAGAAAGGTATCAATGCTGGGCTCTCAATGTAGTGAATTGATATGAATAGATTGAATAGATGATGATCTCACTCTTGGTCGTATCCAATTTGCTTGTTGCGAATCTATACCGTATTTACTGGAATCGCAGAATCTGCGGCTGAATCATGATATAGCACCTCCATTGACTGATGCCACAAAAATTCTGGTATCCGCCACCCAAATGCCCGGTACATCAGGCACACTCTGGGGCATGCTGACTGACATGGTTCCCACAGCTAGATTTCTTGTGGTTCTCATCCCAGCCGATTGTCGCCAAATGTGTCCATAACATGGCAACTGGACCCCATTGAGGGAAATTGACCCATGAAGCTGTTGCCATTGGTCCCATGCGCCACGCAACGCCAAGTTTCTACTGTCCAATTGCAGCCAGCACTCAGCAGGCTGCACGCGCAAATTGAGAGCGCCTCAGGCCACGGAACCAGTTGGAAGTGCATCTAGGCATGGTCAGTGGGCAATAATCACATTATATCCCAGCTGTGTGTGGGTGTTATAGGGGTTATACATATATATATATATATATATGTATACCACTTACTATCATACATGAACAACTTACTATCTAAACTGCACATCCAAGTACACAAAAGTGTTTCTTGGCCCTCTGTTATCAACAAAAATTGTCTGGTTCAGATGTGCTGGGCCTCCGCACCAAGGGGCATTCTTTCACTGGATCCGAGGGACACTCCGGTAAGGTCGGGCCTCAACTGTGACCGCAGTGAATGGGTGTGAATGGTTGCTCTTGAAGGCCGTGGCCCGAAGCTAACTCCAAGAATGTGGCCGAAAATCGGTGATATTGAACAACCATCTGCTTCATTCCATACAGCAAAAGAGACAAAAGTCTCCTGTCCGAGACTGTAAGGATGTGACAAGTTTCGCATCGCTGTTCATAGGTGGGTGACATTGCCACCTGGTCAGCTAGGCGAACGACACGGGCTTCTTGAGATCTTAGATGACGGAAAAATTGACCCAGCAAACTCGGCATCGCTTGATATGGAGTTTGATGCTAGCAAAGCCTCCGTGGGAAAGCATAATCTGTTTCAACTGCGCACATGAAGAGTTTTTAGGCTCAAACATTTACAACAGGAAGTTCCATTTTGCCGAAATCTTCTTGTATCAAGTATACTAATTATACCATGGCTAAATCTCCTCACCCCGCCTGAACGCAATGCCCGATACCATTGCCATCTGGCAACCAGGAGCACTTGCTGACCGTCGCGCAAATGCACGCGTCTCTGATCCAAGAGCAAAGATTTCCAGTAGAGACCTGAGACGAATCGTAACTGCTTGGTTTCAGATGGTGTCCATCTGAAGAAATGAGTCATTAGGGATCATCCCGGATGTGGTAGAAAAATAAAAACTATTTCAAACCACCAACCAGGTAAATGCATCTACAAAGGTGCAAGGTGGCCGGACATCACAGATTAGTTCAGTTGGGGAGTCCAAAGAATGGCCAGAACCACTTCTGCTGGTTTCACAAAATGATTTCACAAATGGCACATCCCAACTCTCAGTGCACCCTTGCAGTGCAATCAAAACTACATCACTGCAGCAAATTCGTTGGTCTTTTCTGCTATGAAACTGATGCAACCAATAGTTTCCGTTGGCAGCATTCGTTCTTTGAGGGGCACCAGGCTTGGGGTCCTGCAAATCCACTGGATTTTCACAGGAAAAGCATCTTTTCAGACATCCTCTGAGCTTCCAACTCCAGTGTCTTTGGTGGTCCTGAGGACCAGCGGGAAACTGTAGTCACGTCGATATCTGGTGAATGGTGGATGAACATGGTCCACCTTATTTAATATTCATTTGTTAGATATCTGTAGTTCAGTATGATATTTGATCCGATATTCGGAGAGCTGAAAACTGGAGCGAGGTTGGTGAGCCAGGATTTCCAACCGACAAGGCACATGAGGAATCATCAAAGAATTGGACACAATTTTCACAGATTTTCACGTCGAACAAAAGCGTTCCTATTCTGGCGCTTTCTGCCCAACCCCGTGTGATTGTATTTCGGTTCCAGCACCAATCCAAAGCCGGAAAAAGTACCCTGGGGTAAACTAACATAGATGTGGAAAACCCATGGTTTCTCCGGCAAAATGATCTTCAAATTGGTGAGTTCCACCTGGGTCTATCGCTGCCAAATCGCGTGGTGCCCGTCACCGCCGGCGCCAGGCTGGTCGACACGGAGTCCGCTGGGGGGTAGCGGGTGCCCTCGGGGAAGAAGTCTTCGCAGCGGTAATCCTGCGCCGAAACTCTGGTGATGGCTTCTCCCATCGATTTCAGCAACAGACTATTGGTTGAACCAACCCCAAAAAAAGTCGCAAGACTCAAGCGTTGGATGATGGCCCTTTCGAAGGTACATGGTCTTCAATGGTGACCAATGAACAGAACTAGCTGGAACCCATACTTGACCTGTTGGAGGTTTGACAAGCATATTGTAAAGTGGAAGCCTCTCAACCATCCAAAACAGGGGATTCACAGCATGGGACAAAATCAAAGACGGGGACAAAGTTTGCGGGATATGACCAGCAACAATGGTTGGTTGGACCTGGAAAAAGGTGGAGAAACCAAGAAGGTTCCACATTTATCCGGGTTTGCCAAGCAGACTTGATCGTGCTGAACCGGCTCTTGTGATCTTCCTTGAGCTGCATGGTTCTTTGGGGATATATCAGTCTAATGATAGGATTGTTGGAGTCAAGAGACTTTGCCAGAATTTGAGGTTTATGGACCTTTACTTCTCAAACTTCCCACCAGTCGAATATGCTCTACCCACTACCTCTCAATGTTCATCCCAACCGAGTCAATGGAATTTCCAAGTTCTCACCAGATCCTTCAGAGTCATGGGTGCCTTGAATCCGGTCCTCAGGGCACGACTTCGAACCAATGTCATGGCCCAGGATATCGATTAAAGCCGTTGATTTTTGAGGGTAGGTTGGATATGAAATATTGCTCCAAGACTAAACAGTACCAATTTTCTGTCAAAGCATGCACCCTTAAAATTGCCAAAAACAAAAACAAAAACGACAATTTTTTTGACAAAATGGATAAAAGAAGAACTCACCGAATCAAACGGATCAGAAATCGAATTCATTCGCCCAAGTGGCGGCATGACCACCTCCAGGCGTCGGCAGTAGATGCTGAACATCTTCATGTACCTCGCCAAACCATTGAGCGACACCGGTATCCGGTTGTGAAAAATGAAGGGAGACCCGGTGAGTTATCAAATGAAGGCTGATCAGGCTGACGAAGTTGGGCGAATGGTTTCAACTTTTTCCTGTGCTCCGAAAATGGGTTCCAAACAAGTGAACATCCAGAAATTTAGTGCCAAGGAGTTGAACCTGGAGACCATGCAGCCGAGCCGCCAGTTGTCCACTGGGACATTGCGACTCAATGCGTACATCTGGAGCTGGTTCAAGATGGCCCGTCCTTGCGGCCGCTTATGGGGTGAGGAAAATGATGGAAAATGATGATTATTGTCAGTGAATTTTGGGGTACGCTCTTTTGATTCTGTTTGGGATATCCCTCATCAAAGGATGTCAATCTCAATGCGTACAGCCACGGACTTTGCCAGTCGTTGCTCGGGGAAGAAGGCGAGGAAACTGAACAGCGGCGACCCTCCATGTCCAACATCCAGGCAGAGCTGGCGTATCTGTAGGAGATATCCTCCGGCTCTCCATATGGGGATGATCCTATTCCCAGGAAGGTACAACTTGGGTCCCATGTTCCATCCCATCAAACATCTCCCAGTTGCCCCAGTTGCGATGGAATGACGAGTATCGGATCACTGGCTTCTTGTCGGGGCAGTCGTCACACTCGACCTTAGGGGCTATGGGGACAACGTCAAAGGTTCCGAAGAGGCCTGATTGCGGATTACAAGCTGCTGGTCTGGAGAGAGATATGCCTTTCAAACATCAAGATCGAGCATGGTGGACTTTTGATCGTCAGGTTGGATTCCAGAGGATAAGCTTCAATAAACCAAGCACTATTTGGGTTCTCTTCGCATTTTTGTGCGGCGGCTCCCCAAATTGTTGGTCAATGTTAAGTTTTGTCTTGGTGAAATCCCCACTTCTATTGGTTCTTCCACCTACAGTTTCTCTTCGTTGACCAACAACTAGACAGGCAATCCAGGTATTTGCTCAGTATTTTCTATTTCCTATTGGGAATAGGCTAATCTTTATTGTATACCGAACCCACCTTCTAGTTGTTGATTTCATCCCCTTCAAGAGTGTGAACGTCACTTGGGATATAACATGAACAATTCGTTCAAACACCAGATTCAGAAGTTTGCTGATTGTCCGGATATATCAGCCACATGGACCTCCTACTTTCTTGAAAACCATCAAATATATAGATGATAGACATGGGTCACTCGCAACCCTGAACTCCAATTTTGCTTGTGGTTCATATCGCCAGCAAAACCACAGATCAGATTTCGGATCGCCCTTGCCCCCACATCTCGACCAAGGATCGAAGGGACCTGCATCTCTTCCTTCGGCGGCTTGTTGCAGCTCCCTGGCAGGTGAATAGCCGATGATTATGATCATGATACCCTCTGGTAAACTAACAGTTTGCTATGGAAAATCACCATTTGGAATAGGTAAATCAACTGTTAATGAGCCATTTTCAATAGTTATGAAGCAAATTACCAGGGGTATGTTCAATACGAATGTAGTAATGATATTCACCATGTCTATTCCACTGGGTGAACTTTTTGTTGGTTTGTTATTCAATCATACTATGGGGATGTATGGATCAAGGATCTTGATGTTTCACAAGGTTTCGAGGCCCCAAATACAAGTTGGATTGGTATCATTGATTAGAATGCAATATGATCTGGGTATGATATGGGTATCATCTGCGCCTCAAATTTTTACTGGTTAAAGCGGTCTATCCTGATAGCCGGATTTCCGGAGCATTCCACGGAGCATTCCATATCTGGACAAACCAACCCTGCCAGCCAGTGCCCTAGGCTGTTTACCCTCTGGTAAACTGACATAAGTATGGAAAATCACCATTTTAAATAGGTAAATCAACTATAAACGGGCCATTTTCAATAGCTATGTTAAATTACCAGAGGGTAATTTGTTTAATTGATCGAGGTATCATTTGAGCAGATCGCTTTCTCTGACCAATCCATCAAGGTGTTCTCAGAGTGGACTGACACTGATGATGGATGAATGAGTACTGGAGGGCAGGATAAACCCATTTTCACGGCTCTGGCCTTTGAAAACTTCCGCTTTTGCAGGTCTATCAATGACTGAGCTTAGATACACCCGAAAAAGAATGAATTTTCAGTGGAACATCAAGTATTCGTATCAGCAGAATTGCGAAAATTCACCCTTTCGACATCTATCAACTGACATCCACCCTCTGGTAATTTAACATAGCTTTTGAATATGGCCCAGAGGGTAACCAACTTCACCATTCATCACATCGCTCTCCAAGGACCCCAACCAAGCGCAATCGCCACCTGGGATTTGCGTAGGGCGTGGGAAAAACATCCTGGAATCCCCTCCTTTTCACAGCGGATATTTATTCCCGCTGGTCCCAGAGGTATTGACCCATCCTTTCAAAGCTTAGAAGGTCGTGTGGAACTGAGCCAAATTCTGGTTTGGTTGCGAGGCCCAAAGACATACAAAGACATACAAGCTTTGCAGGATGATATGATTGGCAATGACTGATGTACCAAAAGTGGCACATAACCGTGCTGGGCGGTCCTAGAGCGATCCTGAGAGGTGCAGGTTCTAGAGATGGATTTGTTGCTCCTTGAGGAATCCCAAAAATCACCACGACTTGAGACCTTGCAGATCAGTTTTCCGGGCCGCCAGACCACCGTTGATGGATTTCGGAAGAATTTGGAACTCCAGGGTCAGGATTCGGTTTCCGACTGGCCACGTGGTGGGTATGGACTTTTGTGGCCAGCTGAAAAGGTGGGGTTTGCTTCCTCTATTTTTGAAACACCTCTTTGGTGGAAAACCCACATGTTCACCTCATCAAAAAGACATGCAGCAGCTGTTGGTGAAATTGTAAATCTTGGTAAAGATGGTCGAATGAAGCGTCCCAGTTGATCTTCGAAGACATGCTCCTGCCGCAAAGGAAGCTCCTGCCCATAAACAGATCATCAGCTATGGCAACCTGCAAGAAATAGAAACATCACCCGTTTTACCACCATTCTTTCGGGGTTATACCAAAGTCCATCTGCTTGGGGATTGTGATAAACTCAAATATTAGACTACCCTCTGGTAATTTGTTACATAGCTATTGAAAATGGCCATTTATAGTGGATTTACCCATTGAAAATGGTGATTTTCCATACTTATGTTAGTTTACCAGAGGGTACATAAAATCATATCAAAAGCCTAAAAACCCACCCAAATTCCTGGCCTCCAGATGTCTGGACCTGGCTCCAGGGAATTATTTATTAGGATGTGACCAGCGGATTCAAGCGAATCTTCGAGGCCATTAAGGACACACCATTTTCCCCTGGGAATATCATGGGGATACAATGGGGCGAAATGTGGGGAGATATCACCAACTTGAACTTACCATTTGGGGACACGCTCATATGCCACAAAAGTCAGTGACTGGTAGCACATCTTGAGGTGGTAGACTACATGACCCATCAAGGATCATGTGTGCCAAAGTAATGATGCATCACAATCCACACTTCATCAACAGATTATCCACATTATTTCATTATCAAACCATTATCAAACCATTATTAGACCACTGTCAAACCATCAATCACAATTAAACAGTGATATTTCATGATATTTCCATGGCCTTCCCATCACCACTAGCAACACGCGCTACGAATCCTCCATTTCGTGCTGCTGCCTCCAACTCTGTGAAGATCAAGGCAGATCCTGACATCGACAGCACCGTGCAAACGCAAATGTGAGGGAAAAATCGTGGGTGATATATTTGGATACAATGGGATTTGGCCTCCAGGATGATTTGTGTCCCAAGAAAGGGAGGACAAATGAGGCTTTCTCACTCACTTACATTGGGATTCCTGGGTGGTTGGAATGTACCCACTGTTGGATGAGCCAAGCACTCTATACACAATGGGCCACCAAACCACCAGTTTCCAATTGTTCCACCATGGCAAACCCCAGGAACACTGTACACAAGTTTTGTTTCTTTCCCAAGGTCGTGCCTGCATGTATCTTCGATAAAACATCATGAGCCAATCGTTCACCACTTGATTTACGCAGCTAAATCAATGCTTTGCAGTCGTTAAACCATACTAGAACCAGTTTTTCCCGAATGCGTAGCAAGGGTTCCCGTTTCACTCTGGGGGTCTGGGGGTTGAGGGTATGTTTGCTCGACATTGCCCAACCGTCCGCAACCGTCCGCCACCGTTCGCAGCCGTTCGCAACCGTTCGCGCGATCCCTGTATGGCTGTGCCTATGGTAAGTTCTGCGCAAGGGGTCTGCGCAAGGGGTCATTTTTGGAGGTTTCAAACGTCGCGTTGCTTCGTTTCGCGTGGCAGGCGTGGCACTTCGTGACATTCAGACGTGTTTTGTAAGGTGTCGACGCAATACTTTTGCGACATTTTCGCAAGATGAGTTGCAGTTTTCGTGCACTTTGGACGTGTCCATCGTCATTTTGCGTGGCAGGCGCAGCACTTTAGACGTGTCGTGTTGCGTGTTTTTTTGCGAATCGCAATGTCAGTGCTGCGTCAAGTGGCGACAAGGTGCAAATTCCGTGGCAGGCGTGGCATTTTGTGAGATGTGATGAAAATTGACGGAAACCTCGCACGAAACATCGATTTTGAGGTAGCAAATTTAGAGGTTCTAAGGAAAACTCCTAGGAAAACGTCGATTTTCGAGCTGCAAACTGTCAAAATTGGAGGAAGTCTCGCGCGAAATGCTCGTTTTGATGCTCCCTCGTGTCCCGTCTCGAGTCTCTGGTTTTCCTGTGGCCTCGCCGTGTCTATGGGGGAAGCTGCAAAACATCTCCTTTTCGAAGGTGTCCAAGCAGGTTGTCATGTCGCTTGCGTGGCAAGCATGGCACTTCGTGGCATTCAAACCTGTTTGATAACGTGTCGCAAATCGTTTTGTGTGGCCGGCGCAATACTTTTGCGCCGTTTTCACAAGATGAGTTGCAGTCTTCGTGGCAGGCGCAGCATTTTGGAGACCTCTGTCGTCATTTTGCGTGGCAGGCGCAGCACTTCAAACGTGTCGCATTGCGTGCTCTACACTCTACAGTCTACACTCCACACTCCACCCTTTACACTTCACCCTCTACACTTTACACTCCACACTTCACACTCCACACTCTACACTTTACACTTTACACTCCACACTTCGAACTCCACACTCCACTCTTTACACTTCACACTCTGCACTCCACACTCCACACTCTACACTCCCCACTCCGCACTTCACGCTCCACACTTTGCACTCCACACTCCACACTCTGCACTTTACACTCCACACTTCATACTCCACACTCCACCCTTAACACTTCACACTCTACACTCTACACTCCACACTCCGCACTTCACACTCCACACTCCACACTCTACACTTTGCACTCCACACTCCACACTTTGCACTTTACACTCCACATTTCACGCTCCACACTCTACACTGTACACTCCACACTCGACACTTTACACTCCACCATCCACACTCTACACTTTACACTCTACACGTTACACTCCACACTCTACATTTTACTCTCCACACTCTACACTCCACACTCTATGCTCCACACTCCACACTTCACACTCCACACTCTACACTCCACACTTTACACTTTACACTCCACACTTCACACTCCACACTCCACGCTCTACACTGTACACTCCACACTCTACACTCTACACTTTGCACTCTACACTTTGCACTCTACACTTTACACTCTACACTCTACACTCCACACTCTACACTTTACACTCTACACTGTACACTCCACACTCTACACTCCACACCCTACACTCCACACTCCACACTCCACACTTTACACTTCACACTTTATACTCCACACTGTGCACTCCACACTTTACACTTTACACTCCCCACTCTACACTCCACACTTTACACTCCACAGTCAACACTTTACACTTTACACTTTACACCCTACACTCCACACTCCACACTTTACATTCCACACTTTACACTTCAGACTCCACACTTTACACTCCTCACTTTACACTGTACACTCCACACTACACACTTTACACTCAATACTTTACACTTCACACTCCTCACTTTACACTCCACACTTCACTATACTCCACACTCCACACTCTACATTCTACAGTACACTCCACACTCCACACTCTGCACTTCACACTCCACACTTTACACTTTACACTCCGCACTTGACATTCCACATTTTACACTCTATACCTTTCACTCTACACTTTATTCTGAACACTCTACACTCCACACTTCACACTCCAAACTCCAGACTCTACACTTTACACTCCACACATGACACTTCCCACGTTACACTTTACACTCCACACTTTACTATCCACACTTCACATTCCACACTCTACACTTTAAACTTTACACTCTACACTTTACACTCTACATTCCACACTCTACACTCTACACTTGACACTTTACACTCCACCCTCCTCCGCATTCCACAGTCTACAGTGCACTCGTACGGTAACAGGGGAAAAATGTAGACTGTTCAAATAACTTGTTTCACAAAAGTGTTCTACGTGACTGCATTCGGGTTCGTGGGCTGCATCTTGTTCTTGGTTCAGTTTTGCAGTTAAACCAATTTTTAATCGTTCAATCAAGTCTTGGTCTGTGAGTTTCCAAAGCTCATGATTCCTGCAACAGCCAGCCCATCGCTCGCCTTCTTCGCAGAACGCCTTCAGCGTCTGCTCCGCAGAAGTCTGCAAAATCCTGGGTGCCCCCGCGCTGCATCTGGTGATCAGTGGTGCCCCAGTTCGTTAGCTACGTTGGTTTATAACTCCAATACCTGGGTTGAAAAGGGTTGAAAAGGATTGAAAAGGTATATAGATATATTGAACGAGTCAACAGGGTTTATAAGCCAACGGTAATGGAGATTAATGGTGGTTATAATCATAAACTAGCTCGATGTATCTATTACAAGCCCAACGGCTAGTGGTGTTTATGTTTATCAACTGAAGCACCACCACCTTGCAGGGGAGGAGGGCAGAATGAGCATTTTGCCAACCAAAGATTAGGATTTCACCAACAAAAATGGGGGTTAAACCAGCAGTACTGGATGGCTCGTGGGGCATATCGCAATCCCCACAAGGTAGAATCTGGTAACATACCCCACTAAGTTGTAAATTGAACCTTTTCTGATATACTTTTTAAGGTTGCTATGAATGGGTTTGGTCCAATGGGGAATATCCTACACTCCCAATAGCAATTCTCAAGCCGAAAATATGATAAGCAGGGCGATTGAATGGGCCATCACAAAACGCCAACCAAAGAGGCGGCAGAACTCAGCTCATACTCCAAGCGGCACATGGTGAAAACTGGCCAGAAAATGGGTCATCATTCTGTTCAAATCCTGTTCAAATTCTGTTCAAATATCTCATTCTTCGGACCGTCAATTGACTCCAATTGACTCCTACACACTCAAACAGCCAATCTGCATAGCTTTTTTTAAACCCAGTACACTCTCGTGTTCTTTGCCTTTCCTAACCTACTCCCACTCCGCCAAGACGCTGCAAAATGGTGTCATCAAAGGGGCCACGGATGGTGATGGTGGCCGTGGCCAACTCCTGCGACGTCGCAACGGTCGTTCTCCCAAGAGTCGGCTGGTTTTCGTCTGAAGCCTTTGGTCTTTTTCATAAACCCTCCGAATCGGCCGCGGGTTCAGGAGAAACTCCCCCTTGATGGGATATATATATATATGTATATTTGCTGATCCCATAAATCTTGCTTCGGGTCTTAATCTTGATGCTTTGTCTTAAGAAACTTCATGGGTGAATGAAAAAAACCCACTTGCGCCTCTGCGCTCCGCTCTTGGTAGAAGGGCTGGAGGATCGCGGCAAAGTTATAGGGGGGACCTCGCGCCGAGTTGCACCGAGTTGCTGGTGGAATGATGAAGTCGAACTTTGGGGCTATCCCATCCGCTTCACTGAATCGATGTGTGATCAATATGCCAACTGATTACTTGTAAAAAGTCACCAATCACTTCCTCCAGAAAGGTAGCCTAGACCGGAATTCCAGAATAACACTGGAGGTCAAAAACCCTGTAGTTTGGTGAACACCAAAAGAATAGCGGGTTTTGGCTGTGGATGTTCATCTCAACAAAACTATAGAAAAACATAGGTTTCAACCCATCCCCAGAGCCTTGATCTGGCCCTTTTCGTGACATCTGACACTGAGGTCCCAAGCTCAATTTCAGGGCTTGATTGAGGCCAAAAAAGAGGAAACACCATGCCGGTTTTAGCATGGTGAGCACCCTAAGATTTTTCGTTGTTGGTGGCTAAGCTCTGAGAATTTCACATGGCTAGCTGGACAATACTTACATTTAATGGGAAAATCTAGGGATCTACTGGAGGGTATCCGACTAGATTTTTTTTGTGCGGGGAATGGTATTCCAACTGATCCCCCAATGAAGAAGTCTCACCTTACCCAGCTCCATGAATGAAAAAAAACACGTCAGCTGGAGCAAACTTCGCCCGGAGCGTTTTGATGGCATCCATGTCCTGTACAACTTGAGCCGAGAAATTCAGTCAGGCGTTGGCAGCGATGCACCTGGTTGGGGGTGTCCTGTAAAGTTGATGATGAAACGTAGTCTTGGATGGTTCACTCCTCCAATTTTCGGCCGCCAAGTGAAGTGGAACCCGATCAAACGAGGGAGGGTTGTCTTGGTAACTATCGGCTTCAAAATCGGAGTGGCCGTGGCCACACCAATAATATATGAATAAAAGAGGTGCTGCTGAAGAATGAAATTTTCCATGTATCAAAACACATGACCATCTCAATGAACCCAACCGGGATCCAACCAGGTAACCATTCCGCCCCGCTTTGTCGCTGCCAATTGGAATAAGGTCCGCTTTGGGCCCTCACTTTTCCGGCCAAATTTCAACTTCAAACTCCTGGCGCAGTGGATCTAGTGCCGATCTTTGGTGTAAAAAAACACCACGGCTGACACATTCTATCCACATTTTGGACATGTTCTTCAAAACTTGTTTGAACCATGTCTTTTGGGCAATCTCGAAACTTGCATCATACATGGCCAACCTGCTGGAAACCAACACTCATATCCTGTATATACATGTATGCTCGTTCAAATTAACTTTTTGTTATTCAACTTGCAGTCAAACTGCATCTTGCCATGTCAAACAAGTGCTGAACTTGACCTATTTCTGTGGGCCACTGGCCCACATGTTTCTTGCCAAACCAATCTGTTTTATTTGCCAAATTTCCATCTTCTTGCTGGTCAAAGCACAATTCTTGAGAGTTAAATTCCCAATTTTGGCTGGTTAAATCAAACATTTCATGGTCAAATCCCCATCTCTTCCCATTTTGATGGTGAAATCCACCTTTTCGGTGCAACGCATCCCCCAACCGAACCGAACCCAACCCATCAGTCGCCTTCGCAAGGTATGCACCGCGGAGATTTGCAAGGCTGCCAGCACACCGGGAGAGCTGGGCGCCTGAAGATAGTGGAAGAAATTGGATGGGTTTCAACTGCTTCAACCCGAGGTGGATTTCTTTCATCCGTATGGTGATAGAAGCAACAATATCAGTGCAGTAAAGAATGAACCGGGACAAACAACAATGGAGAATACTAACATTAAAAAATAATGTCCAGACGACGGGGTTGAATGTGTGCATCCTGGAGACATAGCTAGTCAAACCAGGCGAGGTAAGTGGGTCCTTGGGTCACACATAACAACACGAGAAGAAAACCGCTAGTTTTGCTTAACCACCATCAACCTGTCAGGCAATCCCGGCAATCCCGAAAAAAATGCTTTGTCTTTGATCAATCTTTCCATCTCCGAGGATAAAACCATATAAAAACACATAAAAACAAAAACAATATAAAACCCGCATTTTGGTGGCTTAAAACCAGGTTCTTCATTGGTCTCCCCATCTTGCAGCAGACTGCCTCGGGCAGTGGAAGCTGCGGCAATTTTGCGGCCAACAGGGAACGGAAGTAGGATAAACTCCTGGGGCTGGGACCTATCACAGTACCATGGTGAAGTTGCTAAAATATTTGCTGGGGCGATTGGTTCTTGATATCTTCGATACCATGGTAGTGGTTATTTTATTGACATTATTGGCAATCTTTATGCATATATATATATACACATACATACATACACATATTATTACCAAAACCATGGCTGAGTAGTATGTATCACCATGTCTGGCAGATGAAGTACCCAAGGTTTACCCATTGGTATCCCAAAACTTGTGACCCAGCATCTGAGGGTAGAATTGTGAAACAACGGGTACGTAAAGGCGGAATAAGATGATTTGAGAAATTTAATAACTTGTTTGGATCAAGTGCCGATTTTTTTGGTGACAACTGGAGTCATACTACAAAAACTTAGTGAGACAACAACTGGTGAACTCGGCATTCCATTTCTAAGCGGTTCAACGCCAACCATTTGCATCGTGAGAAACCAGATGCAGCCAGGCCTGATCCTGGGCGGATATTCAACCAGTCATTTGAGGGGCCCTTAGGCCCCTACCCAATTAGACCCTTTAACTAGAAGGGTGTGCTATGATAACCTTCTTAACATACAAACCATCTAAATGAACTATCCCAGGCTTGCATTCTTCAAATTAAGCCATCATGAGACATCATAATTTTCCCAGTCTTAAGCATCATATGGCACATATGTGTATGGGTCGAATTTTCCACAGCAACATGGATGGTTCAATACAAAAACTGCCCATTGGTACTTCCTAGCAGTACATTGTTGGTTATATCGCCAGCACGCCTCCACATCGCATACATAATATCTACTATTATAGCTTCTATATCCCATTTTATAAACACTGGATGGGCCAGTTGATATGAGCTCCGACATCACATCCTCGCTCCTGGTAGATCTCCAGATGGTACTTTGCCATCGCATCACTCAGCCTCTCGAAGCTATCCAGATGCGGTGATCACAGAAACGCTAAGGTGAAGGTCAAAAAAACGCGAACTGAGTTGAACTTTTAGTGGGTGAATGGGCATGAATGATAGACTCTTGAATGCCCAAAAGGTCGTTTCAACGAATCGTGTATATCGACTCAATCCATCTGGAGATCAAAATCTCTGATAAGAGCTTGTCTGAAAATGGGGTACCTCAACTTTCAACTTCCCAATTTTTTATCCATTTATTGAAGGAAGTTTTGAAGTCAACGTTCCGACAATATGGACAGATGAAGCAGCAGAGGTGGGAAGAGTCAGAGAAGAGAAAGAGGCAGAAGAGAAGAAGTCAGAAGAGAGGGAGAGAGAGAGAGAGAGCAAGAGAAAAGATCAAAGTGCACGAAAAGGTAGAAAAGTTGCGAAACGCTGTGTTTTTCTAATGTTTTGTGGCTCTGGCGGGTCGAAAAGTAGCCTTGCCAAAGCGGCGTGTGCGGAGCCATCTGATAGGTAGATAGATAGATAGATAGATAGATAGGTAGGTAGGTAGGTAGGTAGGTAGATAGGTAGATAGGTAGATAGGTAGATAGGTAGATAGATAGATAGATAGATAGATAGATAGACACAGAGAGAGCGAGAGAGAGACTCAGCCACCTTTCGGTGCATCAGCGGGTTTGCTCTGCCATCCATGCTTCAAAACAACACGCCTCTCCTATAGGCTTCCTATCTTTGGGAACCCGTTTGGATGGGGGAGAAAAAATCGGTATGTGGAAAACCCGAGTACTGATTGAGTTTGATCCGGAAACGGGAAACCTGGCAGAAAACTGTGATAAAACTATCATAAACCGACATCGAAGAAACACGAAACAGTGCTTGGAGGTTTAACACATTGACCCAATGGCGTGACCGTTCCGGGAACATCAGCTGGAAATCCCCAGTGAACCAAGGGCTGTATTATCTGGTTGTAGAAAAAAAGTAACAACACCAGCCAGTGCAATCCCGTGAACTGGACATTGCTCTTGGTGTCTGATCTGAAAATTTGGTGAAAGGATTTGTGAGGCATGGATATGTGGTCAATGAATCCATCCCGTGGGTTTCGGCATGGGATGAAGCTCTGAAACACAAAACCCAAAGCGAGACAAGTCAGGCTAAACCTATCTTTTCGTTTGTGAAACGACGCCTTTGTAACCACACACAAATGGATTTAAGTGAATCATACAAATACATGTCAGTATAGCACTCCCATAAAAGATAGAAGTTCTCAATATCTATTCCGCACAGAGTGGTAAATTGGAGCTTTTCCATCAGAATTTCTATCAACCATAAGCCACATCAGCATCTTACCTATCAACCATAAGCCACACCGGGGCATCACCGGACACCTTTGTGGTTCATCCGAGTCCAGCCAGCTTTGCAGCGTTTGGTAGAGATGCACAAAGGAAGTCACGTGGCTTACGTGAGGAAAACCTCAGTCATGGGATGATCCATATCCCCATGGCCTCCCAGTCATGGCATGGGAGAGGCCCATATGGATCCATCAAAAGTCATGGTAAAACCCATCCAAAACCCCCTAGGAAATTCCTCAAAAGATATCCAGAAATCTGGCATCAACCCATTGAAATGGGGTTTTCGCCATATGGCATTGATCTGATATCCATAGGAATATCCGATTCGATAGGAATATCCATATTTTAAAGCCATGGAAAAAACCCATCAAATATGGCATTGATATCATAGGATTAAAAGCCATTAAATCCATCATCAAATCCTAGATCTATAGATGATTGGTATCCCATCATATTGCCATGGTATCCACCAAACATGGGGGTTTCCGTAGTCATGGGGACACCCAAAAATAGATGTTTTTTTTTTTAATGGAAAATCCAATCTATAAATGGATCATAACTAGATTTTAGGACATCTCCATATACTAATCCTATCCCCCTAATAGTAAACACCACGTAAATCACAAGTATGTGCAAATCCCTACTAAAGCATGGTTTCTAGGGGGTGTTTAATATTAGGGAGATGGGATTGATTTATAGTACTGGGAGATATATCCCTCTAATCAGACTATTAATGTCTGGGATAGATTACTAGGGTATAGATATAGCTGGCTTGTAGATAATGTATATGGAGATACCTGGCTTATAGTTACAATGCAGAACAATGAACAAATTACATATATATATATATATAATGTCAACCCTGGATTAATAAACCCCTAGGCTGGTTAATTGGGGGGGTACCATTTAAGTATTGGATTATGACTATTGGAGGAGTACCCCCCTAATTAATAAACCATGGTTTATTAATCCAGGGTTGACATTATATACAAATAACGTCCCAAACATCCAACTGGGTTGTAGATATTGTTTTTACCCACTTAGTTACCTAGGCCCCTCAAAGAATTTTGCGGCCTTATGGATAAGGGCTATTCGCCAGCCCCGATGAAGGGGCTATATCTTACTCAACCCCCGCAGTCCAAAACCTCAAAGGATGCGCTCGTTGACTTCGAAAATAGAACAATTGTGAAGCTAGGCCTTGACCCCTCCTTCTTGTGTCTGTCAGGCAGCGGCCGCGATATCCTTTCCTGCCAATATGGAAGCAAAAACAAATATTTCGTTGATTTGGTGGGAGGTAAGCAGCCAAAAAAATAACTGAAAAGGCACTTAGAGGTATCAACAAAAGGTCATAAAAAGGAAATTCAGAAACAAAAGATGGGGAACTGAACCAACAATGAAGTGATTTGAAGGAAAATTTAAGGATGTAATGACATTTGAAGCAACGAAACAAAGAATTTCACCCAAGAAATCGAGAATTCAATCAACAATCAAAATATTGATTTCAAGAACAAACCGCATGACACTATGTTTTTGCCCTCAAATATTGAGATTTAATGTAATTTTTCAGCTCATAGTAAGAATATGAATGTCAATCGAGAACATCATGCCTGGAAATTAGAAAGGAAAACCACCAAATAGTGAGAATGCCCAGCCAAATTTGGAGCAACAATTCTGTAAATCTTTGATCATTTTCCATCACGATTCACCCTTTTTTTTCACCGAAAAAGGAGCGTCTTGCATCATCTCCATGGGTTTCTCCCATGGTTTCTGGGTCATTCCGCCAAGGAACGCCAGGCATCGGCAGTCTGCAACCAGTAGCGCAGACGATCCAACGAGTCGCACCCCCAGGGGCTGAAGGCGAAAGTCCTCGTTCGTTGGTGGTTGAAACCTACCATTGGTTGGTCAGATACTGTTAATATATGGTTCATATTAATGGTTATTATATGGTTAATGATGGTTAATAATCTACTGGTTGGTGCTTGAGCCTACCCCTCTGAAAAATATGATAGTCAGCCGGGGTTATTATTCCCCAACTGAATGGAAAAAAAACTTCACCACCAACCAGAATTCTATAATTCTGGCCCCGTTGAAAAGAAACAGAAATGCACGCAGGGACCCGCATGCCACAAAGACAACGACGACCGAAAAATGGCACAATCTCTACACCATTCTTCTGCAACTGAAAAACACCAGCAGTTTGGGATCCCCAGCTATAGATCAAAACCAGTGCTATGGTTGCAACCGGAAGACAAGCTGCTGGGTACCCTCGGGTAATTTAACAGCCATGGAAGCCACGGTCCATTTAGTTCAATGATTTGTCGCTCGACACTCGACAGCCGAGAATCTCTTCCCCCTCTGCCAGATGGTAGAGCGGGGAGTGTGGGAAGAACCATCCGATGCCCGTCTGGCACATGTCTGCCATGATCCTCGCAAAGCAGCAGCGTTTGGGGAAGAACTTTGGTATATGGAGACTAGAACCGTAGACTCCGTAGAACGAGAATGATCCGATGGCCAGGTTCCCGGTAGCTTCGACGTCCTTGCAACCAATCCCTTTGAAAATTCATGAGCGACACCATATCAAATGGATGGAACTGATCGACCTGCTGTCCTGAATTTGTGCTTGATCCATGTGGCCATTAGGATCAATTCCAGCAAAGAATTCAATACTGACCAGAGTTACACCATCTGTTTGAGATCATTCTTTCACGAAGGGACTTATGTGAATTCATAATGCAAAATAGTTGAAGTGTCAAAAATCAATCGATCCTTAAACTATCTGATTCCATCAAGGGCGAACATGACAACCAAAACTGATCATCTGGTGCAGCATTCATCTCCAATTGCGACAAGCCACACTGATTGACACCTGAAAACACATTATGAACATGTTTGCTAGTTGGTGTTCAGATTGGATCATCATCCCCAATCTGGTTGGGGGAAAATAAAACATGTTCCAAAGCACCAAGCAGTTTGGGATCGACGTTTTGGATCCGTCGTTCTTGCAACGAATCATCGTTGAATTGGTATGCACACTCCGGTAACATATGTTAGATAGCTATGGACCATGGCCATTTATAGATGATCTACCTAATAAACATGGCCATTTTCCAGTTTGCACGCTCTTAAAGTCTTAGTCATTACTCCATTCATTGTCCCATATACAGCATATAGCCTATATATATATACACATCATATATATATATATACATATCCCAGGAATTTTATAGGATATAGCTATGTCAAATTGCCTTTGAGTATTTTTTCCCAAAGCAATCGCCAAAACGGGACGACCATTTTTTGTGATCACTCCTGGCTTGCCATGCCACATCCGGCACAAGGGTGGGCACCTGGTGGCTGGGAGTGGAAAACCCCAACATACCTGGAAGGTTTTATGAGTTGTAACTGATGCAACACTTCACCACGAACTGCCAGGATCCAAAATACAAGATCATACAACTGAAACAGTTGTGACAACACTAAATAGAATGCAACTGTGAATCGGCATTTGTGCACCTACTTATCAATAGATGGTACGGCTCCAAAAGTGGTTCCAAAGATAGTTCATGAATCATTTTGGCACCCATCGTATTGGTTTTCCTTGCCGTTTTGTTTCCTTACAAAACATGCTGTAAATTGACTTTGAACAAATCAAGGTGGTCTCCTTCACAGGACCATTATTTGCATTTGTTGCTTTTCAGGGTCGCCACTTGATCGCAACCCCCAGATGGAAACATGGGAACCTTGAAATTAGTTTGTTTTTTCTTCCAAATATATACCTTATCTATAACATCCTGAAACCACTTTTCATCTTGGAAACCTCTATAAACTGTATCCTTGCCGTTGCGTGAAATCCTGGGCTGCATCCCTCGATTCCTCGATTCTCAATAGTTTGGCCTACCATGGCTGAACAGCATGGTTTGGTGAGTCTCCAAAAATTTTGTTTCTCCAATTTCCCTCAGTTTTACCCTCTGGCAATGTATAGTGAAGTTTCCCATTAAACATGGTGATTTTCCATAGTTATGTGAGTTTACCAGAGAGTAATCCCCAAGGTCTTCAATCGCCATATGATTTTTTTGGGTTTCTCCTGATGGCAGGCACCCGCAAGGCATAGAGTTCATTGAAGGTCAGCAAGGTGATGTCCCCCGCCAAGTACACGGCGGCCATGTACTCCTGATCTGGATGTGGGAAGATAGTGATGGTGGTAAATGATGGTAAAGATTCCATCATAGTTCCATGATCCCAGAGATATGTCAATATGTCCATTGTGGTAAAAACCCAATCAGAACCAATCGTATTGCCTAAAATTGCTGTAAATTTGTGATCATCTTAGCTACGTTGGGCTGGTCGCTAGCGCCTGTCAGTTTCTGGATTGGTTTTGGGGTGGCATAGTGTCGAACCTTCGCCCTTGGGGCCCATTGATCTTAAGCCAATCCTGCTGGAGCTCCGTTCCAGAAACCAATGGTAGGTACAACTTGACCATTCTTTGGATGCAATGCCATAATGCCATAACTGGATGTCCGTAAACACCGGACTGCAAGTAGTGACTAAGTAGTGATCCTTGTACCTGGTTCTATCCACCCTCGCAGTGTAGCATTAGCTGACCAGAAAGTTGCTTGCACTGCTGTTGATGTTCCGAAATTGTGGGCTCATAGATTCGTCAAGAAACTTTCCTAGAACCCGGTATTACAAGTTGTCGTCAGGTTTGTCCCATTCATAACTCGGGGGCCAATCCTTCTCACCAATCATGAGTCATATATCCCCCATTGTTGATTGAATATATACAATTTTCACTCCACTTTGGCGGATTACATGCCCATTGCTAGTTCATGGTTCTACAGATCGTGGGTTACCCTCTCGTACTCGAACATGTGTTGCTGCAAATTCCTTCATATCTTCATTTAGTTCGATATTTCCCCATGGAAATGCCTATTGTGCTCAGTGACTTCCCAGCCACGTTTGATTCTCCATCATTCCAATTTTTGTGGGCATGAACATCCGCCCCAAAAATCTATGGATATCATATCAATAGATTTATCTGGGTAAATTAGAATATTCCACTAACCTGAATTGTTGGGCCATAAAAGGGGCTGATTCCTACTAACTATGATTATAGTGATTTACCCAGATTTATAAATAGGGATCATTTGGATTACCTATTTTCATAACAGGCATCAAAAAAGAAAAACAAAACCCGTTCCGCCCTGGGCTCCACTGCGTCGCTCCACCAAATCTTCCCCTGGACCTGGTCATGTCATGGGGATCTCAGGACATGGGATCACACGATGTTCAAACATGGATTAATGGATGTTAATGGTCATTTACAATACCAGAATCATCTCAGTGCTTGAAACATGGCTCATCTGAGGTACGCTCCAAAACAACTTATCTTGAAGTGGCTAGTCTAGCTTCCCCTGTATCGCAAAGGACAAACCAACAAAGACTTGCCCAGTAAACCGCATCCGAACATGTGACTAATCACAAATCCCATCCCTGCACTATTCAATTCTCTTCTGGAGACCTTGGCTTTGCTGGGTCTCTTCGTTCTGAAGGTCCCATACGGGTGGGTGACCTGATATTACATTGGCTAGGTATATCTCCATTTCACATTTTAAACATGCATATAAAACCATCATTTGCGACTGCGGAATCGCAACTTTTGCTTGATGACGTATCATTCTTGGCACCCACAGTTTTTCATAGTTCAACTACCATTTTTCCATGGTTTTCACCATGTTAAGCCACCATTTTTGCTGGCTAACATTGTCACAGGGGGAAAACCTTCTCACACGGTGCCGCCTCTCCTCGCCAGGGATCGCCCGCGTCGCGGTTGATGCTATCGAAGCCGCCCTGCCAAACCTGGCGACAGCATCGCTTTCAGAAAAATGGGGCATCTTCGAAATTTGGCTGATTTTCAGCAAAAACAGGACAAGCAGAAAAGCAGAGAAACAGAACAGAAGAGAAAAAACAAAGTGGGCGAGAAAAGCAGAGAAGCAGAACATCAAGGAAGCAGAGAAGCGGAAAAGCAAAGGGGAGCAAAGAAGCAGGAATCGAAATCGGAATCCAAAACGAATTTCCAAAACGGTTCTGAAAAAAGACTCCAGAGAAATTCGCCATCCTTGCCTTTTTTTTTTAACCCTCTGGTAATTTAACATAGCTATTGAAAATGGCCATTAATAGTGGATTTTCCCATTGAAAATGGTGATTTTCCATAGTTATGTTCGTTTACCAGAGGGTAAATCAATTATTATGCAACTTAATATACAGTATCCCTATGTATCCCCATCATCCATTGATATCCCAACCCCCATCTTCCAGCCGTAGCCAGGCCTCCACTTCAACGGGCTGCACCCAGGGCAGTGCATTGAAGTGGCCCAACATCGACGCAAAGACTTGGCCTTGTGATAGGATGGCAGCAAAGAAACAGCCCACAAACATCAGTTGCTAAACGGAATTCACCATCAAAAATGGAGTTTAGTCTTTATCACCTTGAAAAGTTAGGATTTAAGAACCATGATGGCTCACATGGGCGCAAAAGATTTTCCAAATAACAGATAATTACCGTTCAATTCAGGTGATCTCAGCTTTCTGAAATGTCTTTCACGTTCGCCTTTGATGTTTTAGGGTGCTGCGAAGCACAAGTATCAAGTCCATGTGTCCCAAAATTTGAGGCAGCAAGTCCAAACCAGGATGTCGAAATATTGAAATCTTCGATGTGAGCTGCTCTTTCCCATCAGAATTACCCATCACAAATTGCCTATGCCATCATTCCCTGTGGGATAATTTACCTCCAAAAATGGCAGCTTTCGAGAACTGGGGATCCAAAACTCCAGTACCGTACGATGGACAACATACTGTTCTTTGATGCCCCAAAAATGACGTTTCATGAGGTTTGGTCAGTTTGATCCATCATCACTTTATGTTTGAAAATGGGGTATACCCATAACAAAGCCAGTTGGAAAGAGGAATATGCTTTTCCTCACCATCGGATGAGAGCTCGTAGGACCCCAAGATCAGGATTAGAAATAAATCCCCATCATATCAGCATCATATGCCATTATGATCATATTCTCCATTATTGTCCCATGATATATATATATATGTAGTATATACTATCATAATCTATCATATACTATCAATCATGGCATCCCATTTTTTGTATCATCCCATGGCATCCCCATCCTGATCCCCGCCTTGCACTCGTCGCATCAAAACGTTGCGTGGCACGAAGGCCTTCGAGGCCTTCGAGGCCTTGCGGCGCCAGCGCAGCGACGGCCCGGCGTGCAGCGCTGTGTGCCAGGCGATGGCAGAGACGTGAGGCACCTGGAGGGGATGGGATGGTTATGGTCGGTTTTACATGGCTTTTATATGCTTTCACTGGGCTTTTATATGGTTATCATTAGTTATCATTAGTTATCATATGTTGTGATTTATAGTGGGATTAAACAATATATGTGGGTTTCATATGGTTTTCACCCTTGGAAAGGGAGATATATGATTGATAAAGGATGGTTAGTAAGCATTGAATGATACGCCATCCAACTAGTTCGACTAATGCACCGTAAATCCAGATGAAGCAACAACACTAGGAGGAATTTGATGTGATGGGGGGATAAGAAGAATAAAATCAACAGGCCAACCAAACTGTGGAAAGTTCACCGTTTGAAAACGAAACGTGACACGCTTGGCTCACCGTGGCAAAACCACCGAAGCTTCGGGGGATGATCGGAGTTTGAGCTTCGGTGCACCTTCAGACCGATCAAGTAGGAAATGTCAATGGACAGCCTGGCCCATGCTGTGGTGCAGAAATGATGTGCTCCTCCATTGAAAGATTCCTTGGCATTTTTGGTGAACTTGCTGAGGAAAACTCGAATGGATAGGATGCTGCTTGGGCCTCTCATTTCATGGAGTTTTCTGATGTAACGTTAACCAACAAGAACAAATATGATTCAACAATATAGGGATGTGGAGCCCAAGATGGACTGACTGGCCTTGCATTGCAACAAAGCTGTCACTATCACCTCTGCAACAACGAAGTGGGGATCGCATGGGAAAGGCCCCAGCATCATACAAACAGGTCGTCATGTTTGGCACGCATCTGTGGTTCAGAAACAAATAGTCAATTTTTGGAGTCTACTTTGGATCCCCTTTTTGAAATCTCTGTGTACATTGGGTAAATCTCCGTTTTTCCTGCTTAAACTTCTGTGTTTCGCTGGTTGAGAAGATTTCCCACAGTGGATTGTGAAAGTTCCGAATATACTGGGGTGTATAACCCGCGAACGAATGATCAACCAACCTATCATTTATCAGTTATTGCAATTATTATATCAAACATATTCCTATAATTTTGATGGTTGAGAGTTTTAACCAGTAGAAATGATGCTTAAATATGATCAATAATCCTAGAGAATAATGGTTCAAAGCCTAGAAACGAATCATCATTCATCACCATTAGTCACCATTAATCACTATTAATCACCACTAATCACCACTGATCATCATTAGCCACCATTAATCGCCATTGATCCATTGGGTGTTAAAAATGATGATTAACCACCATTAAGCCTAGAAACAAATCATCATAAACCACCATTAATCATCATTGATCATCATTAACCACTATTAATCACCATTAACCACCATCATTCACCATTATTACCCTCTGGTACACTAACAGTTTGCTATGGAAAATCACCATCTTTGATAGGTAAATCCACTATTTCTATGGCCATTTTCAATAGCTTTTTGTATGTTTACCAGAAATATCCCATTAACATACCATTAAAATCCCATTAAAATGGATAAACCTGACATTTCCCAAAGGGTACATCCAATTAACCAGAGGCTAACCACTGCTGCGGATCCCGAGCATCGGCACCGATCCGTGCAGCTTCGGCCATCAGAGAGACGTGCCACTCCTTGGGCGCGGTTTTAGGCGGATCAAACGCGTCATCGTTGTCTTTTATTGTGGTTGTAACCAACCCAAACCTTATATATATACATGTACATATGTATATATGTATATATAGATATATGTATACATATATATATAGATATGTGTACATGTATAGTTATAATATACCCTCATGTTTTTAGCAACCAGAAAATGGTGATATCAAACCCCAGGATTTCACCAGCAACCATCGGGGGTTGATGAAGAAATGATGTAGCCCAGATTACTAATGGTTAATGGTGGTTAATGGTGGTTAATGATGGTTAATAAATGGTTAATATATAGCCTGGTTGGTGGTATACCTACCCCTCCGAAAAATCTGAAAGTCAGTTTAAGTGTAGTTAGTAAGTCCCCACTGACCAGCGACAGTAAGTGGTAGGCGGTGGTCAACCAGCAACCGTGACGATTTCTGGGAGAAAATTGGACGGTCTGAGCATGGTGTGCCCCCAAAATATGGCAGTCATGTTCCTATAAATTCAGAATCATCCACAGCTAGGGGAAGGCTCCCATGACTGGATCGCATTGGGATAACTTGGGAAACGGAATGCTGGGGAAAGTCCAGGATATCATTGGGGCTTTGCGCCTTGAACCCCTCACTTCACTGCGGCGAAGACATCGAGATTTGTTGCTGGTGGATTCGTTGCTGAGACACAAATCCATGGATTTCGCGCAGCCGTTAGGCAATCCAGTTGTTTCTGCAGCTGCTATACGACATCAGCCATCGGATGTACTTAGTAAGTGGGTTATAAGTTATAACCCCAGTTATAAATGGGATAAGTAGGGTTAATCCACTTATAACTGGGGTTATAACCCACTTACTAAGTGGGATGAGCCACCAAGTAAACCATGCTCATCCAACTGGCTTCATCTTCCCGCTTTTTGTGCCATTGGTGTCCGCGCGCAAGAATACCTCGTGAGCCTTCCAGGTTTTACTCAGCATTTGGCATGACATACCCATGAGACATTGTGGCTATATATTAACCCAAGTAGGATGGAAGAACAACACAATTAAAACATACTTGAACCATAAATCATTTGAGATATTTTAATATGGCTAAGCTTACATACCCTGCAAGAAGGACACTGGTTTTTGCATGTCCCTAGATATGGCAAAGAAATAGAACATAACTACCCAACTCAGCAGTTGCTTTACCCAGGTTTTTTAGTGTATATCCCCACCTTTTGCTCACATCCCCCAAAAGCTCTCGGCCCAGCGGCTTGCGGTGTATGTTCTCCCACCAACCAGTTCACCATGTAGTGGAGCACCGGCCTTGGTCGAGAATTTCATGTCAAAGGAGCATGGCCAGTTTATCCGATACGCAACTGAAATAGTTGGGGTTGAAACATCACATAATACTACATTACCTTATCTCCGTTTTTCTGCATTTTGTTGCAAAAAAACAACAGTAGGTAAACTAGCCATCCTGTTTTCCTCAGCTGCTCCGAAATGCTCTACAGCTGCCATGATGCTGTTGGGAGATCTTCTGAAGCATCCAACCTCAGCATCTTGCGTACCCTCTGGTAATCCTAAAACACGGCTTGCTTGAAAATCCTATATAAATGGAGGTTTTAGTGGGAAAATCATCTATGAATGGTGGATTTTCTAGCAAACCATGTCTGATTTCCGTAGGGAAAAAACTCCGACACCACTGTCCTGGGATTTCGGTCCGTGTGGATGGATTCACTGGGAACTTAGCCTTACTGGTGCGTTTTACGTAGGGAATGGATGGGTTGCTGGGGGTTGCTGGGATGATTATTATTAGTGATGAAATGGATCATTCCCGAAAATTCCCCGCGTAAAACGCACCAGTAAGTAGCATCTTATCATTGAAACAACATTTTCCTCAGCTTCTGCCCAGGATTCGCCCACCTGAAACACAGCCAGGGAACACAAAGGCCATATGCCGGTGCAAATCCACACATTCGCCTGGCCATTCCCAAGACAAACCCTGTGGCATGACATCATGACATGTTTCCTGCTGGATGAAGTTTTCCATGAAATTCGGACTCAAATCCCCATTCACTATTCACATCAACCATAGAACTCCAGCCAAATTCCCGCCAAATACCACCATTATATATGCAGCCAATCATATATAAGATATAATGATACATAATCATATTATAATCATATTATAATCATATTATAATCATATTATAATCATATATAATCAGATATAATAACACATAAATCCCATGTAGATAGATAGAAAGATAGATAGATTAGATTAGATTAGATTAGACTAGATTACATTACATTAGATTAGATTAGATAGATAGATAGATAGATACATAATATATAACACCATTTAACATTCACATCCACCATATATTTTGTCCCCGGCCTTCATCAGCTGCGGCTCTCGTTGCGCCGCTTCTCTGAGCTCAGGCCACACCGCGACCGGTGTGCGTCCCAAAGCCTGGCAGCGTGGGGCCAAAATGGTGGGGGTTTCTCGGAAAACCATGGAGGTCCGGCGAACCGGTGATGCAACCCACCAAAAAAATAAGCAACATGGGATTTTAGCCGACAAATATATGGATCTCACCAGCGAAAATTCAAATTTACAAAAAAAAGATAACATGCCCACACATATGCAGTTTGTCCCAAGAAACATTTCTGTAACCTGTAGTAATCGTGATTCACCATCAGATTGCCTCCCTAAGCGGCTGGTCGAACATCCATCGCCGAAAGACATCTTGGAGGCTGTCCTGCCAGAAACCCAGGGCTTTCACCAGTACAAAATGGATGGTGTTTTGGGACCATGGCCCATCTGCTGTTTTTTTTCCATCTAGAAAGATGTTCATCAATTGTGATGATTATGAAATTTAAAGATCAATTAGGCATATTTGAGACCACAAAACAGATTCTTAAGTAGGTGGCCCAGCACAGCATAGACGTGAATTTTACCGCATAATCGATCAACCACATCTAGTGCCGTCAGATCACCCTCAATGGGGATTTCCCATAGGGTGATGATGCCCAGTGATGTTTGTTGGTTGATAACCTCCAGAAACTACTTCGATATATCTACCGTAAATGCATTTGTAAACCTATTTACAAACTGACTTGATGATCTGGGGCCCCACATTGTAGCTAGCCATGTTGGATGGGTTTGGCTGAACATAGGGTACCTCTAAACTTGATGGCTAGCCATCATATTTACCAACTAAACTGTTATTTCTCTGGGTAGACCCAAGTTTCAGAGCCCAAAATCATATCATTATTGTTTATATGTATATATATAATTGTATATATGTATATTATGTATGTGTATATACATATATATATTTATATATATATGGAGTATATATCCCACTTATATCACCATTATAGCCCCATCATATCCACATTTTCACCTATGTTGGATATATCCCCAATTGCTGGGTACTATATCCCCCATATATTGTGGTAAAGCGAATGCCGTCACCATCCCCATGAGCCAAGCGCTAGGGGGATTAACCCAGTCTCATTTCTACATCTATGGGTTGGATGGTTTGAGCGCAATCCCATCATTTCCAACATTATTCCCGATTCTCTCAGAATTCTCCCTTATCCGGGATGGTTTTTCTTGTTGATACCCTCTGGTAAACTAACAGTTCGCAACTGGAAAATGACCATTGATAGTTGATTTAGCTGCTAAAGATGGTGATTTTCCATAGCCTTTTCGTGTATGTTTACCAGGTACATCCATGGTACATCCATGTCGCTCCTGGTCACACCGCTGGAGAATCTCGCAGGCATAGTACTGCCCAAAGAAGGACACTGAAAGCCTCGCGTGAAGTGCCAGAACGGGCAGGAACTTTTCCTTTGTGTCAATTTCAATGGTCATTTTGACCACTAAAAAATGGTGATTGAGTGGGACTTCATGGTGATTTAAATGGTGATTAATGGTGACTTAATGGTCATTAAATGGTGATTTAATGATGATTTAATGATGATTGAGATTGATTGAGTGGGACTTACAAGTAGATGCTATGGAAAATCACCATGAATTAGCAGCTAAATCAACTATCAATGGTCATTTTCCAGTTGGAAAATGTTGTTCTCAACGCTCAACGCCAACGCGTTGGCGCCTCTCTTCCTCCGCCAGCTCGGCCAAGATTGCGGCCATGGCCATGGCCGGCTCCAGCGACATCCCCGCGTGGTGCCCGACGATGGCCAAGGAGGCCGTTCGGAACGGCGCCTGGAACGGCGATCCCAATGGGATTTGGGGGATTAGAAACCAACCATGTGAATAACAGTGTTTAATATACCAATGGGGATATAAACCAACACATCCTTGGTGTTTAATTGTGTTGAATAATAGTGTTTAATAGTGTTTAAATCATGTGTCATAGTGTTTAATAATGATAAAGCTAATATAAACCTGATACCAAATAGTGTTGAAAATGATGTTCAAATTACCATTAATTAGTAATGTTATCTCCGAAAGTTTGAGTACCATTGGTAGTGTTATCCCCAACAAACACAGCACAATACAATTACGAATAGATTAGCCAATAATACTTAATTACCCAATAGTTTGTTATCCACCAAATGGGAATAGTGTTGAAACACCAACTGTTGGGTAAAGACGATCAATGGTTTCGAAGCAACACTACTGGGAATGTAATTGGATAGAATCGGACATACCTTTTGATCCTTTTAAGTAATCCAATCCCTCCAAAAAAATGTAGTAAACCCTGGCTACCATAAACAATTACTATTTCGGGATGGTTAAAAAACCACGCATCAGAATGGTGTTCTTTTTGGTTTCGTATTTTGGCTTTGGCACACTGCAGGATATGGCCATGGGATGCCATGGGTCGTTTTAGTGTCTCATCTGCGGACCTTGGGAGTGAAATTGAGACTAATCCATCGTTTGACATGTTGTTTGCCGTAATTAAGGCATATAGGGATTTTAAGCGACAGAAAAAGGAACATTAACAGCACATCTATAATTTATAATTACATTAAACGGGGTCATGAGGTGATTCTTCATCCTGATGGTGACAGCAGAATCTCAAGTGTCAGGCTGTTCAGTGAGTTTAGTGGTGATCCCAGACATTTTCAACCCCGCCCTAAGGGAATGGAACTCGTCCTCCTCAGTATATACCGCCGGTGCTTCCCTGGACACATGGGATGAAGAGCCCAGCTATGGATGTTCATCCCCTCAAGGGAAAAGTCATCAGCGAAGCCAACTGGAGAAATTTAAACCATGCACTTGGGGAGGATTCCCTTAAAAAAAAGCATCTACAGTTCACTTCAGTTGGTTCAGTAGGCTTAGTCCAGTGGCAATTTGGGTTACCCTCTATGAACTAACATAGATGTGGAGAACCCAGCATTTGAAGTCCAGTCTACCAGCAAAAACCCATGGTTTATGTGGAGTGGTTTTTACTGGCCCGCTACGCCCGCCAGGCCTGGTCAGCGCCACTAGAGTCCTGCCGAGAAATGAAAGCTCAACCACCCATGGGTATTTCAATCATTTGTGTACTGGAACACTGGAATTATTTCATCAGCCTGTCCAGCTTCAAGTCCCGGGAAAAGTACCAGGAATTGAAATCTTGCTGACTGACGATGGGAACCCACGCTCCTTGGCGCGTTGGAGCGATCTCCAGGGCCCTCTAGCATGGCAATGGGACAGTCCCCCTTTCTTGCCTGGTTTTATGAGCCACCTGAAGCGCCTACACGTCCAGTTTTCGAAGTTCTGGAGCTCTGCCGCGCACTGCCACCACTTCGGATCCGGATGTGAACGGCATGGGTACCGTCGAGACCCCACTGCCAGGCTATGCATGTTTCCTTCCCAATTTTTGTCCCATCTCTTGGTGAATCCCTAAACTCCCCAGACTCCCCATGACATTTTCATGACAACATTTCTGTGCCTCCATAGAGAGGGCAATCCTGTGGATGGCAACGCAAAATCCTGCACCAATTGGTGGTACACATCCCGTGCTTCATCACATTATTGACAGTGTTTCATGACGGAATCCCAATTGTTACCAATAGTTACCAACTGGTGCAGGATTTCACAACCAACCACATTATCCTCACTGAACCAGGTAGTATAACCCGCTATAGTAACCAATCACCCATCATTTATGGTGGTTTCAAACCCGTTTTTGGTGGTTCAAGCCAATCTTTTGTGGGTAAATTAATCAGCGTATTAACAAATGGACACGCACACACACACAAATATAGCATTTACAATGGTACCCTAACCCATCTATATAATAGTATTATGGAAGATATGAACCATTGCAAACCTATCAACAATGTACTATTATACTATTGTACGCTATGATCATATCTTCTATACGACTGTTGTAACTATACGGTAATATCAAATGATGGCTCCATTGTCATTCTAACAATCAACCAAGTCCTCATTTTAGATTGATAAATGCCGGTTTTCTCCGCTTAGACCTCCATTTCATCCAGTTAAATGAGCCGGTCAGACAGCTCCGCATCTTTAGCTACTGTTAGTATGACTATAGTTGCCGAATATAACTATTGTTGATCTGAGCCATTTCTACCCAGCTTGGATATCTTGGATGAATAAGTTCCCATTTTATCAGCTTAATTCCCCAGTATATTTGATGTATTTCTGATGTTATATTAATATTCAAACCACTTATTGATATGTATATATATACGTATACATATAATATGTTTGGACAATGGAACCATTATTATTGATAGATTATCTGTTTAACCATGCTGATTATTGATGGTTGAACTAATCCGAATTATTATATTAGCATCACACTATATTATAACTATAATTGCCTAATATAAGAAATATTGATGGATTATCTGTAGTGCTGGAAGCAGCGGAGTGAAATTGATCCCAAATCCACCAGTCGAATGTGGTACACCCAACAACAGACCATTCTCAACATCACAAATGGGTGGGATTCCAACCATGCCTGAGAGGTAGGTTTATGGCATTGGGTTTCCCAAATTATTAAAAGGATGGGATTACCAGCTCGTGTATCCAGTATTTCCCATTATATCCCATTATTCTTGATTCAAAACCATAGTTTCCCATTTTTTTTCTAAATCAATGATTGGATTTCCTAACTATTGACTGGTGGTTATATACCAATTACCATCTGGTTATTTAACATAGCCATGGAAAATCACCATGCTATTAATAGGTAAACCATCTATTTCTATGGGCCATCTATACCATGGCTATGTTAAATAACCAGAGGGTATATACCCCATAGACCCAACATTTCCCATAACCAGAGGGTATATTCCCCATAGAGGATGGTTGAAACCCTATAAATAATGGGATGTTTACCATCTATCAACATTAAACCACCATTTTTCATGGCATACCCTGCATTAAACCACCATTTTTGATGGTATAACCACCATTAAACCACCATTTTTCATGGTTGGCTCCGGCCGCCTTCATCGGCAGCGGCCGCCAGGCCCATGGCGTGAAGTCGATCGCTGGCACCGGCGGAGGCTCCGCCGCCAGGCCCAGCTGCCGTGAGGACCTCGCGGTCACCAGGGCCGAAAAAGGTCGCAGATCGGATGATATCGATGTAGATTATGTATATATTATACACACATAACTATACATATATATATACATACATATCTATCTATATGTATCTATCTATATGCATATATCTATTAATAAATACATGTATATATATATATGTCTGATATATGAAAAAGTTGGGCAATAGCCATTGAATACATGAGTTACAATACGTGACAGTTCAGTGACCAACAAACCTTGGTGGGTCAAAGGATAGAATCAGATATGGTGATAGCTTTTTTTGGAAAGCTGGCGAATCATCCCACCAAACAAAATTGAAGGCGATGATTTGATGCGAAAATAGGGAAAGTCAATGGGGATATCAATGGACGATTAATCTCTTCCCCGACCTGTTGGATATCAAATGAAACCCAACAGCTCAATTCTTTTGGGGTCTCCAAAATAGGGGGATAAACATGGATAAACAAATAGTGGGATTGAGTTGGTCCATTGGTCCATTGGTCCATGGCTATTTCGATGTGGCAACAACTGGATGACAAGTGCGTCAAAGTCGAGAAGCTCCCAACAGGTCAACCATCTACAAGTTCCATCAGTTCCATCCCATTTTTTGGGTCTACTGCTGCCTCCATTTTTCGTTAGCGGAGCTGAGATGCAAATTCCATGGAGAACTTTCCAGCAGCAGTTCCAGTGATCCTGGAGCAGAAAAATCATGGCTTTGGTAACGGAAACGTTCAATGAATCTTGGATCTACCGAAGATTTCAAACGAGTCACAAAAAAAGATTCGAAAAAGAACAATGTGGAACCCGTCTCCACAAGTGTTTGTACAAAACTCTCTGTTGTCCCTACCAGTTGGCTATCAGGATTTCCCAATTCATGGATTGTGGCAATCCTCAATAGATTGGACAGTAAAAACCCATATATTCATCAATCAACGAGGTTAACTGGTGCTCTTGGTCGATCTCAGGGTAGGCTTGGGCCATTGTTGGATGATCACGTTCACCGCTGGTTAAACAAAGGTTCATGGGCCATTCGAAAACCACAGTTTTGTTGGGATGACTTGAGAATTGCCTAGGCCATGTCCCCGTGCAAAACTAGCATCGGGTCCGATGATTGTGCTTGTGGTTTCTTTAAAACTCAGACTTTGAACCATGACACACAGGACATGTTACAACTCAATCCTGTCGGGTTGGTGCTCCTGAAAACTATGAGTCACTCGGGATCATCATGCGCATCAGAAAAAGTGAACTGTTTCCCCATTCTATCCCCATCATGTCCTCTATATCCATCTATATCCATCTTTGTATCATCTCAACCGAATCTATAATTATCAAAAATGAATGTAACATCTCCGACCATGGCAGCAAGGAACGTTCGGGACCCAAGGCATTTTGCATCCGGGCGGTGAGCGCCTTCTCGTTCTCACCTCGGCAACTGATTCGAAGAAACCGGATGGTAAATGGTGAGTCCTGGGGTTGATCCAACAAAAATATACAAAAATGGTGATATGCTGGGTGTATAATTCGCATCCACTGGTGGTATTGGGGATGTAATATGCTGAGATTGGGGATACAAGTGCGATCTACTGGGGAGATAATTTGGATGTAGACCAATAAGCGACTTTTAGTTTGCTTGAAAATAGTGCATACCCTATATATATATATATATATGGCCATTTAGGGCAGAAACTGACTGTGATTTTTTTTTTTGGGGGGCTATTTTTAGAGTGGGATACATGGCCAGTAATGTAGAATATGACTCAGAATAATGATGTTCACATTTCTCGGTGAGTTTCTACACTCACTGGGATGTCATCCCACCAACCTCCTGTTTCCAGCACTAGGGAGGTGAAAAATACAACGCGGAAGATGGGCGCCCCCAGCTATAAGCTGGTTTACAGCCCCATGGACATGTGCCTCTGTCCACCAGTCTAAGAATGAATATGTCTGATCAAAGACAGCTACTTGACATGCAACGAGTCAAGCCTCCGCGTGTGCGTACGGCCTTCCGAGGCCTTAACGTTAAGGCAGAAACATACCATGGCCGCCATGGATGGCTGCATCTCCAAGATTTTCAAACACCAAAACCCATATCACCCATATTAGTGGTTAGATGTGGTTAGATAGATACACCCAGTCAATCTAGACCAACTATAGACCCATAAAAATCATAAAAGATACCCGATATCTCCGCAGTATATCACATCTCATTTTTTCCCTATATATCCCACCAAAAATGCCACAAGAATATACTACCCCAAAATGGTGCCCTGACCCTCCAATCCCAGTCGCCACCAATGCGTCCGTGTAGGTGGTGTAAGAGGCAGCTCAAGGCGGCCACATAGCCGTGCAGGCAGAAGCCGCCTGCAAACATAGGGATGAACAGAAAAAAAATTCTCTGCTACGGCAATCATGGCTTCTGGTCATCCCAGCATCGATTCCTAACAATCGGCGGACTAGTTACCCTCTGGTGATTTCACGTTGCGAAAAGGAAACTCAGCATTTTTAAGTTCGGTAAATCATCATTTTTATCATCTCTAAATGGGGCCATTTTCCAACAACCCAAACAACCCAAAGGGTAATCCCGAGGAATGCGGAGATGCCCATCGCCCATCTATGGTCGCCGCACCATGCACTGTTGGATCTGCCAAGGGTAGCAGCCAAGGCGTGTGCAAAGGCAGTTGGCACAGGCCATCTCTCCAGCCTTGGCATCCCGTAGTAAGCTGTTCACCATCGTTACAACCTGTTACAACCGATGGGCCCACTGAATGGGCTGGGGATCTAACCAGGGTCATTCACCAATGGGGTGACCCTTCTATGGGGTTGGTTAAATCACCTGTCAGTAATCAACCATTCGGGGGTCGTTTTTAATCATAAACATAGGGGTATACAAAATATTAAACACCAAGTTGAGAGGCTAACGGTTAGTGATTCCCCCAGAAATCCCATCGGCCCATTTTTTCAGAGGTCCAATACTTCACCTAAGTTTCAGGGATTTCAATATGGGGAAATAAAAGAGTTTTTGAAGTAATCTGGCCAAATCAGCACCAACAAACGAAAATGGTTGCATTACGGTTGCATTGAACATATATCAATGTTTTTTTTTAAAACTTTCTAGTGTGGAAGACCTTTATAAACTGAAATAGGGAAAGGTTTGTGGGTTTGGGTTACTATATGACCATGATATTTGAATTTTTGAGTTCTATTGGCCAAATCCCTATTCACCTGTCGTGTTTTGCCTAGTTCATCCTAGTTCTACATCTGGAATATCCCCATCGATATCATGTGGCCATCAAGGCCAATCCTTGATACCCTTCGAAAGTTGATACCTGGTGAGTCTATTTTCCCATTGTAAAAGGCCCTATGAGCACCGAGCAAAACAAAGGATTGCCCACAGCCCTCGGTTTGGTGCTCAGGTACAACTGGGTTCTTGCACCACTTGGTTTGAATCCCGCAGCTCAAAGAATTCCTGTCAAGATGGGCCGCTTCCATCCGCAGCTTGAAGATTACTGGGAAACTAAAGCAGTGAAAAGGGAGCCATGTATAGCTATGTATAGCTATGTATAGCTAATATATGGAATACTGAGACCTAGTCGAAGGAAGTTTAGAAGTGAAACTTCCGACAATATGGACAGTTGAAAAGCAGAGGTGAGAAGAGTCAGAAGAGAAAAGATCAGAAGAAAGAAGATGCAGATGCGCGAAAAGGTAGGAAAGTCGCGAAACATTGATTTTCCAATGATTTGTGGCTCCGGAGGGTCGAAAAGTAGGCTCGCTAAAGCGGCGGTTGCGGAGCCACCTGGCCAGATTCAGAGATGAAAAATTGCACGCCGTTGTGGCGCGAAGCACATTTCCAAGTCAAAATGTGCAAAACACAGCAGGTTCGGACCACTTTTGGAAGTTGAGATGTCGAAAAAGTGCACGCCATTGTGGCGCGAAGCACATTTCCAAGTGAAAATGTACAAAACACCACATGATCGGACCACTTTTGGAAGTTGAGGTATCGAAAAAGTGCACGCCGTTGTGGCGCGAAGCACATTTCGAAGTCAAAAGTGCAAAAAACTGACGGGTACGGAGCACTTTTGGAGGTTCAGATGTCGAAAAAGTGTCGAAAAAGTGCACGCCGTTGTGGCGCGAAGCACATTTCGAAGTCAAAAGTGTAAAAAAACTGAGGGTTTTGACCCTTTTTTGACGTGAAGATGTCAAAAAAGTAGACACTGATTAACTTAACTAACTTGACTAACTTAACTAACTTCACTAACTTAACTACCCTAACTTCGACGACAACAGCAACAGCAACAGCAACAACAACAACAACAACAACTACAACAACAACAACAACTACTACTACAACTGCACTACACAGCAACTACAACCACACAACAACTACAGCTACAACTACAACAACAACAACAACTACAACAACTACAACTACAAAGCAACTACAGCTACAACTATATGACTGCAACTACACTAGACTAATTACATTACACCACAGCTACAACTCCACTACGCTACAACTACAACTACAGTTGCAGTGCATCACACTACATCCAGCAGTTGTGGGTGAGGTGACCACTGCAAGCATTGCAACCACTCCAGCAAACACAACTCCAACCACCTTTCGGTCAATCAGTGGATTCGCTCTGCCATCCGTGATTCACAACAACCAACGTCTCCTATAGGTTTCCTATTCTGAAACTTCCGCCACCGCCTTGTGCGGTACTACTGGTATATGGCAGTTATTCGAGGTTCACAAACAATGATTTGACGGGCGAGAAGCAATCATACTCGTACCGGCGGTACCAGATCGGGTAGTGATGGACCCTCCAGGTTGGACCCACCACATCCGAAAAAACTAGGATTACAACTACCCCAGGAGAACTCTGGGGTGTAAAGTTCTCTGATGCACAAATTCTACCCAAGATATGATCTTTATCTATCTTTATCTTGGTGGAAAATTCCAAAGGCTATCCGTTCGTCTCTTCCATTCTTCCCACATGCCATATCTTCCCCACAACATCCGTCGAAACTAGCCCGCTATGCCCAGTAGATCCGATGCTTGCGGACGAAACAAATGTTCGCCAGTGAAATACCGATGTTGGTCAAATTACATGTAACAAAAACATTCTGTTGGTTAAAATCCGGTGCTTGGCAACAGAATTCTATTGCGATTATGTTTGATGTCTACCCTCTGGTAAACTAACACAACCATGGAAAATCACCATTTTTAATGGGAAAATCCACTATTTCTATGGTCATTTTCAATAGCAAACTGTTAGTTTACCAGGCCGGGTAAACAATTTGAGATCCAAAATTGATGGTTGAATCCAAACTTTTTGTCTGGATTTGTCATCCGGATTGTCCAAAATTGGGCCCCAAAACCATGCCCCATTTTTTGACAGAATTTGGATTTGGGGGGTCCCCTTTTCAAGAAACCACCTCATTAGGTTATGACCGGAAGAGACCGGTGGCACCTTGTGCCATCCTGTGACGAACTCCACAGATTGTTCCTTTGAGGAATGCGTGGATCAGCACATGTGAAGATGTCGCAAGATCTGAAGGGTTAATTCCTGGTGGCCTGTACTCCCACTTTAAATACATCCAACACCATCGAGCTGGGTTCTAAAAATGGCGAGGACGTGGAGGGGTTCAGCTTATCTCCTGCGAGGCACAGTGGGATATGGCTGGGAGATTCACCACAGTTGGGTCAACCTTGCCAGTCGAACAATATCATAACGAAGCTGGGGAGTCGTAAAACAAAGGGGGCACTTCCTCTCACATCACTTTTTGGTAGCAGAGATTTGGCGCAAAGTCGATGTCAAACATCACAGAAGAACAACCATTGCAGTCATTGCACAAGGGATTTGGATTGGATTTCTGTAATGAGGCATGGTTAATCCATCCTTTTCAGACTCCATTATATAAGGGGCAACAAAAACGACAGGCTTTGTCTGATAGGGTAGCCCCAAAATCCCATAAAGATCCCATAGTTCATCATTTTCCCCATTTTTCCAACGCATTTTTGGATATTTTTGGGGTGTAACAACCTACTTCCCACGCCCATTGCTCCCATGAAGCGTTCAGCGAGGATCTCCCCATTGGTCGATGATGTACGTGGCTGTGGCTTGCAATTCGATGAGCCCGTCCTGTGACAGTCCAACACCTGGCGTCGGAAGTTTTTCCATGGAATTTTCCACAGAACAAGATGTACCCGGCCTGGTAAGCTAACATAGCTATTGAAAATGAACCATTTTTTGTTGGTTTACCTATAAATAATGGTGAATTTCCATAGCAAACTGTTAGTTTACCAGAGGCTACCAAAAATCAATATGTATCGTAAAAGAAGGATTTTCATGGATGGAATTGTGTATCCTATTTTCAGACAAACCCAAGTATAGATGGTAAAAATCTACAAGCAGCAAGGCTGGATCACCTTCCAGTAACCAATGCTACCACGTATGAATATGTCTAATCTTCCATAGGATAAAAGGGATATACAACCTACACTCACATAAATAAGTAAATAAACAAATAAATAAATAATTAAATAAATAAATAAAATAAATAATATATACATGTATATAAATATAACTAATATTTCATTACATGTACACAACCATCAAATGTGGGATATATCCTCCATGTTTGAAGAGTAGGGTAACCCATCTTTTGACAACAACGCTCACCTCAAAGCACCTGGAGGATTGGACATATGGTCAGCTTCATGCGAACACCGTTTGAACAACAACAACAACAACAACACCGGCGGTGGCGGCGGCGGCGGAGCAACAACAACGACAACAACAACAACAACAGCAAACACAAAGGGGACTCGGCAAACAATACTGGTGGTCTTTGACCAGCGAACAATAGGTCACCCGCAACAGAAGTGACTTTAGCTGAAAATGTTAAAAGGACAATAAGAACTGCTGAAAATGCAGCATCATACAAACACAAACACGCAAACACATGTATCCATCAAATCCAATCTCAAGAATTCATCTATCAAAAACCATATTGCAAGTCCAAAGCCCATGTTTTCTAGTTCAAATGTGTTGATATTCCAATTCTTCAACTGTCGGCCCATCTGTTGAGCTCAAAACTTTCTTTGCTAGTCAATACCTTTGCTCTCGACATCCTACCAGTATGATCGTATGGGTGTGCCCGAAAAGCACACACACATTCACCCCAAAACCTCGTTGACCAACCATTTTCACTATTTTAATGGAAATTTTGGGCTACCCACGTTGAGTCACACGATATTTGTTCATAGTCTCTGGGCATCTACTGTGGCCATGGAAAATCATTCAACATGAATCCGGGACATCCCGGTCAATCCCATATTGGATCTCCAAAGGCACGCAGCGCATCCTCACGCAAGAGGCGGAAGTGGTGCCACAAAGGCGCAAAACCTGGGATTTGTGGAGATCCCAAACCGGGTCACTGGGTATGACATAATTGATCCATACGCAGAAAAATCCATGCATATCCTGAGAGACTTGGGACCAATCGGAAAAAAACACAGTGTTGCGCGCGACTTTTCTACCTTTTCGCGCGCCTACATCTTCTTTCTTCTGACTCTTTCTCTTCTCTGATCTTCTTTCTTCTTCTCTTCTCTTCTCTTCTCTGACTCTTCCCACCTCTGCTTTTTCCATCTGTCCATGTTGTCGGAAGTTTGACTTCTAAACTTCCTTCGATAACCAATATTTTGGGATATGAGAATGCTAGGAAGGTCTGGGGAGACCTTCAATATTCCACAAGAGGACACATTTTGTGAGAGAAGGAGCCATAGAAAAGCCCAAGTCTGACACACAGCACAAGGCTAGATTCTACAACGACCAACCGGGCAAAACAGATTAAAACAGGTGGGCACGATTGCCCTGGTAGAATTGCGCAAGTGCCCTGGCAAGGCAGGGCGGCGGAAGATTCCAATAGGGCTTCAATGATGTCTTTGAGTGTTCAAGCAGCAGATGTTCCCTTCCAATTTCGAGAATCCCAGTTACTCCCTGGTAATCTAAGTGCCATGAAACCCATTTGTAGATGCTTCATGAATCATTCCCATGGCATTTTCTATGCAGAACGGTTAAAGTACCGCTGGGATATGATTCTTTTCCCCCATCTACGGTTGAACATTGCAGTAAGCGCCGTATTTCACCACTTTCCATCGTTTGGGGGGATTGATTGCAGCCCCTACGTCACCCCCAAACTCACCGCGTAGAAAGAAACGGCGCCTGGTCCCTCACAGGACACAAAGGCAGGATAGGTCACAAGCGCTGAATCTCCTGATCAGAAGGGTTGCGGATACCCGGTAAACTCTTCCAAAAAGATGTTTCAAAAGATTAGCAGTTCTACACCTAAAGTAGCCTTCGACCCAGCTATCAACTGTTTTTTTTCCCCCATTCAATGTCTGGTACCTAGCCCTTGCCATGATCTGGAGCATTAAAGGTTCCAAACAAGATTTGAAACAACCATTGTAACCATTGTCCCAGAATTGGCAAAAGCTTCAGGAAATTCTTCAATCCAGGAGTAAGAACCTCAAAATTGGTCTACCAATGAGCCAACCAAACTCAGGCCATTTTGGGGCGCACAGCATCAACATCCATTTCTTGGGGCTTCATTTTGAGGCCACCGTACCATGGTGAACCCATGATCTCCTGCCATGACATGGCTCCCTGGGAACCATCTGGGAACTGCTTGTGTAGGTATTGTCATTCAAGACATCGTTTAAGGATATCTCAAACGATTAAGCGGAAGAAATCATCCAACCACACCATTTTCTTCGGCGTTTTTGGGTGTGGATTGACAAATCCATGATGGTCACATCTTGAGCCAACTTTAGGCGGCAGTTTACATGGCACAAAATGAGATTTTGGATGGTCAAGTCCCAAAAAAATTGGGAAAACCTACGCTGGCGTGGCGAGTGGGGCAGACCTGTAGAAAAAAGGGGTCGCATTCGCGGACACCCCAGTTAGCTCCGGAAGATGAATACCCAGGGCTCCGAATCGCTCATCACTGGATAGTCCATGTATAGCTGATTCTCGTATCTCTTTTTTCAGTAATTTTTTTGATCACCAGGGCCAGGGAGTAGTACAAAAAAAACACTTACGATTCCTGGGACGCCGAAACACAGCAGTTGACAGGACCTCCCTATGTTTGACAGTTAAAACCCAGGTTTCCTGTAAATTTTCACTGAAATCAATCGGTTGAACCAATCCGTCTTTTTCTCAACCTTACGGGTTCGTGCGTAAGCATGGCTCCCAGTGGTAGAGATTTGATAATCCCCAAGCTGTCACAGGGGTTATGAACCACTTGTGGTGCCTGAGATGTATGGTGCCTGGTATGCACAACCCAAAAGGAATTCATGTGTGGATTTGACCCTGATAATTTTCATTTTGTCCATATTTCAGCCATTTTCCTTATAAATATAATAAGTGAAGAACCTTTTCCCGTTCCAAGCTACAGCTCAAATCATCAAATCAGCTTCGATACACCACGCTTTTCGGCAGATTTGGCCGAGTCGTCTCTTTACGCGTGCCCGTAGCAATGTGGGGCGCGGGAAGGAAGTGACGTCAACTAGTGCATGTCCATCACCAGTTTCTAATGGTGATTCTATCTAGCTACCTATCTAATCCAATTAGATTCAATCTATCTACATAAATTCTATATTTCTATCTCTATCTATCTAACTATCCATCTCTCGGAAGGAGAATTGACAAACTCAAGATAGATTTGTTGGGCGATTTGGGGAATGATTTCCTTTGCCAATCATTATGATTTATGGTGAAGTCCTTTTGAGCTAGTATATTTTATGTAGATATGTCATGATATGTCCACATATCCGTATAATACCCTACTGTCATCTATATGATTTACATCTTATGCACCCATCTTGGGGCGAATGATTCGATCATCAGTTCCTCATGTTGCTGCAAGTAGGCCCACGTCTCTCTAGGTCTTGAATTCATTTTGCCGAATTCCTACGAACCATTGGTCTGACTTGTGCTCAAGAGCTATGACTCTTCCCACAGCCATCCACAAGCTGATTGCTATGTTCTGCAGTATTTTGCATACATTTGGTGACTGCATCACTTCCCGCCAAAAGTCATCGAAAAAACTATAATCAAGCAGTGGCCAAGAGCCTCGTGAAGTGGTGAAGTCCCTTGGCGAATTCTCCATCTGGGTTTCGACCACTGCGGTGACATTGTCATCTGGCCCCGACCCGGGGATGCTGGAAGCCAATCAGAAGCCTCCATCCTCCAATGTTGGAGGGTTGATACCAATCATTTCTGGTGAAATTGGGGATGGTTTATGAAGTTTATGGTGCGATTTGCCACATTTTTCCCAACCCGATTTGTTGATCAAAAATCTGATGTCTCCCACCAAAATGAAGCCAGATTTTACAGCGTGAGCTGGGTAGGTCGTCTTCAATTGCTGGCGCTTTTGCGAAATGCTGGGCATTGGTGGCCTTTCTTTTTGAAGGGGCTCATCATCCAAGGGTCACCAACATTGAACCGCATTTTCGATTGCTCCCAAATAGGACTTTCCCGACAAAATAGTAGATGAATGTGGTATGTGTCATGACCAGGAACTTCATCAACTCAATGAAACTTGAAAAAGGTATGTGTCAATATCTGGGAACCCAAACTGCAATGGCATTTTCTGCCCAAACCAACAGATACCAAACAAAAAGCCCATTGCTCCTGGTTAAACCCTCATTATGCCCATGATTTCGACTCAAATCTTGGTGCATGTCCAGGGTCAGAATGTGGGCCTCAGATTGATCTGTTCAAGATGTCCCGGGCACAGTTCCGCTGCAGGGCACTGTCTGGCGACTTGGAACAGTCACGAAATTTCAGAGACATTTCAGAGAAAGTGGAGACTGAAACAACACAGCATGCGGATTTTTTTTTTACCTTGGTATCTCGGCCGCTGGCGCTGTTTGATGGTGCGGATTTCACCATTCACAAGCATAGGACACCAAAAAAAAACACGTGGACTTACCCAACAAACATTGTTTTTTTACAGTTTTTACCTGTGTTTTTACCATGAAGTATTAGAGTTTCTTCTAATCTTCGAGAACACCAATTCAAAACGGGTTTCAACCCCAGAAAGCAAGACACACGGAACAGTTGAATTTTCAACCACTTGGAATTCTTTGTCCAATTGCATGGGGTCTGATTCAACCGGGTGAAAACGCACAGATTTTCTCACCAACAACGCTGGGGGTTTGGAGATATTCACCCGGCCGGGAAAATAATGGTTTTGCAAGCTCCAGATGTACTATCCGTTACTATCCCAACATATTGGCTGTCATCTTTCGCGGTGCTCAGTGGCGCATGCAAGCCATGTTGACAACCCATTTACGACCCTAATAGAGTATATTTAAACACCGATAGTGGGATAGTTTCGTGTAGCTGGTTTCAATTGAAATCAGGAGATCAACACGAAACGCTTCTGAAAAACACATGGGTCAGCCATCAGCCGCTGGAAAGCATGGTTTGCCCACACTCCCCTACAGTTCCTGCAGCGGCGTCATGTGCGCTGTACAGTGTGGACAGAGATCGTGCCTGCACTGGAACGAGGCTGAGGGTGAAATGAAAAGAACTGATTCAGGAAATTCACCAAAGATTTAGATGCAAAAGTTAACTCACAGAAATTTCGGGTTTAAGCAACTTGTAGATTTAACCGATCATGGTGAATTTTCGGGATCGTTGGGATATGATGGCTGTGATGAAGCAACAAAATTGGGAGTTTAAGCCACGAAGAAGTCAGGCATCCCATCCAAAAACGATCGGTAAAGGCTTCAGCATTTTTGATGGTCACCACCCATAAAAATGGTGACTGGGGGATGGTAAACATGGCATTGTTTTAACCACATGATATTCCCTAATTATAGCCATTTACAAGGGATTATATTACCACATTATAGCCATTAAAATGAGAACGGTTCCCCTATCGTTGACGGGATCCTGCTGGTTTGAGACGGATTCTCATCATGACTTAAGCAGCTGGTGACCCGCAGCCACTAGATGTGCATCCCAAAGAGGATCCGTGGTTTATAACCTGTATATATATATTCTGTATATAACCCATATTTTTCCGGGGGATAATGTAGTTATTACTAATGTTAAGCCACTGATGCTGGGACCTACTCCCATCAAATCCCATGGTCCTGGTCAAGTCCACAGGTCTGTGAAGCGTTGCTTCCCATTTTTAGGATGTACAATTTTAATGGACCCCGTCTGTTAAAATATGGAATATATGGATAAGATGTCAGAATATGTTACAATGCAATTCGTTGGTCATTTTGGACATGGTGTTTCTCCCATGCGTCAAAGGAGTCCCTCATGAATTGGGACACTACATGAGCCATGGTCAATACTCACTATATGGTTGATGGTCATCCCATCCATAATAAGGATCCTTATAATGGTTATTATAAATCCCTATGAACCATTGGATGACTAGCCCCTATTAATGGTTATTAACCATGAGTATTGACCATAGCTCACATGGCGCCATCATGGCTTTCATAGCGAAATTCGGAGGTTGTTACAGCCCTCTGCAGGTCCACGATTCGAAACGGCGTGCAGCCGGGGCAGCCGGGAAGACAGCTCAGATTAGCTCGGCCAAAGGGAGGGGCTGCAACCTGCGGCGCAGGCCTGGGGAGATTTTTTGAGCTCAACAAAGATGGCGGATATTTATGGATATTTCTCATATTCATGGATATTCATAGATATTCATTGATATTTATGGATATGTATGGATTTTTATGGATATGTATGGATACGTATGGATATTTGATGACTAGTCAAACCTGGTCAAACCTGCAGTCCTGCCGAAAAAAACAGATCCGTATATACAAGGTAAAGCCAAATACCAGCAGCAAAGAGATGGGGAATTACCCATCACACTATGCAGGTCCAAAGCCTCTGAAACTGGTTCCAGTCGGGCGTCAAAAAGGCGGTTTTGATCCAAACTGTGGATATGGAACATGCTGCGTTCACCAAAAGGTCCATCTCTGAACCTGAAAAGGGGTTGTTGTTGTCTTTTTTAAAACTAGGCTCTTTCGCAATCCCCAACTCTATTTTCCATAAACCATCCAGCGGGGATCCCCCATTTATGGAAAGCCCTAAATTTGGATTACCCTCTGGTAAACTGTTACATAACTATCGAAAGATCCACCATTTTGAATGGGTAAATCCACTATTTCTATGGCCTTTTTCAATAGCAAACTGTTAGTTTACCAGGCCGGGTATCTTTGGATTATCCGAATTCTCCACTTTTTTCCGGTGCGGATCCGATCCATCCCGTCCGGTGCACTCGAGCAAACCACCAGCCCTCATGATCTCCATCTTCAGCAGTTGCTTCATCTGACATTCCTACGCTTTTCGTGGGGAAAAACCAAGGACCAATTGGAAATCCCCTTGAAATGGAAGTTCTATGAAGTTCTTATGAGAAATTCATCTAGAAAGGCTGGATATACCCTTTGGCAAGTTAACATAGCTATGGAAAATTGCCATTTATAGATGAATTGCCTATTTAAATGGCGTTCTTCCGTAGCTATGTCAAATTACCAGGACCCCAACTGGGGATGCGAACGGAACATGTGAGGCATGCGAATGATCAGAAATCGTGGGGGTCGAAAGTTGAAGACCCTTCAAAACACATCTGGGGATATCAGCCAAAGTGTG